TACACCTCACAGTAAGATAGGAGGGTGGAAAAACCGTTACCTGTAAATAGGGATAGGATTACAGCTTGTATAAATAGTTATGCCATTAAGATGATGAGATAATGGAGCGAGTATAGGTTCACTCGCTACAAGACTAATGATCAACATCGTAAGCCAAATTAACAATGATTTAGAAGTTAGTAATCAATCATATGGTAAGAAACCACAATCACATAAGTAAGGTGCGGAAACCAATATGCAACAGTAGTTAAATGCTTCGTTATATGTTGAAAGCTGCAAACTATACAATTATGTATACGAGTATAAATAGTGAAACAAATAGAAATAATGCCTAATAAGTACTGGAGGATTACCTAATAAGACGAGAAACAATTCTTGAGGAGCAGAAAGATGGCTTAAAATAGAGGACGAACGTGATAATGTGATAAAGAAGAAAAGAACGGCATTATAAAATACGGTGGGGGGGGGGGAGGAGGATTTGACCGGGGAAAGTGGCAGAATTAAAGATTTGTTGCTAGGAACACTGCATTAGGCTGCTACCTGCCTTAGAGAAGGTGTTCCGCGGTATGGGGCCGCTGGAGGTGGCGGCGGATGGTGATGGAAGGTGATGGATGAGGAGGAGAAGGATGGTGGCACCTGTGGCATGAAGAGAAGGCGAGTTTACAGTTTTGTGTCACGCTGGAGAAGCAACGGGCGGTTTACTGCTCGCTCGTGCGCTTGCTGCTGCTGTATTGCTCACTCGCTCTCTTACTTGCTTTCTTATTCCTTCCCATGCTTACATTCTCTCCTTTCTTTATTTCTCACTCGACCACCTCCCCACATCGTCTTCACCAGTCTCAGAAACTGACACAGTCACCCCAATACCTACCTCTACAGACGATGTCTCGGAAATTCTTACCTCTACGTGATCTTTCTAACTGTTCCTTGGAGCTTATCGGACGATTTTCTTGTTTAGTGGAGTCGTCAACCAAACTTTTACGTGCCGAGTTCTGTCGTTCCGTTGTTACTGTTCGTTCTGTTTTATGAGGTCGTTCTTTCACATCTTTTGCATGCCTGTCCTCATGGGTTAAGGACCAGTTGGTCTTGACCAAATGGTTCTTAATCTAGCAGTCCCCATTAATTCCACATCTTTAAGTGGAAAATGTTTTATACATATTTAGTAAGTAATTATCAAAAAGAAGGCACCAAACCGGGAAGGCTATGTAGCACCATCAAATGTGCTTTATACATAATTCACAGCTGATTATGTTCGAACAGTGCATCGCTAACATCGTATGTTCGAATCGCTCCTCTAAATCAGGCCGTCCTCATAAACAAATGCGAAAAGTGATTCCATGCATCCGCCAAACCCGCTGTTTATGAAGGAAAAACAGTTTACACATGACTCGCAACTGATTTCATTCGAACACTTCCGGAACAAATGTTTCACTGACGAATATTGTTCGAATCACAACGCTGTAAATGCTTCACTCACGTACTATAAATGCAAATAATCGCCAACAGAACCTAAACACCTAGCCAAACCTATGCCTATATATGCACAATATATCAATATATAACAATATTAAGTTATAGTTGGGAAAATCATTATTTTGAATGACCATGTTAAAATTGTTGAATGCATCTTTGGGGTCGACCACTGAATGGATTGGACTTGGTCTGAGGACGCGTTGCTACAAATGTACAAATATTGCCACAAGAACTAAAACCACTATCATAATCTCTTAGAACTAAAAAGCGCACGCGCGTACGCATGGGGAACCTCGCCGCTGAATGGACAATGCTTAAGGACCTCATTTGCTTTTGTTTAATGTGATTTCTATGTGCACTAAAGTCACTTATATTTTCAGCTTCATTACCTCATTCCCTTGCATTTGCTGGGATTGATTTCGAATCGCCATTTGTACCATTCTTGTAGGTTGTTAGTCCAGTGACATTTTGTGTTAACATTTAATATTCAGTTCCTGTTCTTGTCAACGTGTCTGTGAACTTGATATGTTTACCAGGCATGTTGAGTTCTTATTTGATGCATTTCAGCCTGTCTATCCTGTTGCTGTATTAGTTTCTCGTTTGGACGGTGTCATAACAGTAATATTAGATTAGTCAAACAGGATATACTTTTCCCCCGAACCCATATTTGTGTGGGGGCTGGGGGTGGGGTGGAGTCGTGTGGTGAGCTTTAGGGGAGTAATAGCAGGTGTGGGAGGGGGAGTAATAGCAGGGGAAGGGAGGTCAGTGGTAAGACCAATGCTGTGTATGTAAGAGAAGCCTTGTAATGGTGACACGGGAGCGGCCTATCCCACATGTCGGCTCCTGCTGTCCTTCAGTGTTCCACCTCCAACACTAACTGGTTTACTGGTGCAGGTTTCTCCGTCCGCTGCCCCCACACACACACACTCAAGTATGTTTATTGAGAAAATAAGAGGCTTCTCAAAGGAATATAGTAGCTTAGGCTATTTGTACCCTCCTGAAAACATAGCCCCCCCCCCAGTCCTCGCTGAAATCGTTAACGGTACACCTGAATAAATAATGGTAATATCTTATCATAGACATAATAATATATAGGATAAAAACTTGTGTATAAGTGTGTGAGTTTTATGTAAAAATTAACACCAAGACTACTTTTGTTAGAATCACAAACCCTGTAAATGCTTCACACCGACATCATATAGCAGCCCGTCCTCCAAATAAAGATCCAAAAGTGATTCCATGCACCCGCCAAACCCCCTGTTTATGAATGAAAAGCGGTTTACACACGACTCACAACTGCTGATGTTCGAACATATCCGGAACAAGTGCTTCACGGACGAATTTTGTTCGAATCACAACGCTATAAATGCTTCACCCACGTACTACAAATACAAATAATCGCCAACAGAACCTAAACACCTAACCTAACCTATGCCTATATATGCACAATATGCTAATATATTATAATATTAATTTATACTTGAGAAAATTCCCGTTTTGAATAAACAGCATGTTAAAATTTATGAATGCGTCTGTGGGGTTGACCGCTGGATGTAATGGACTAGAGTCGAGAACGGGTTGGTAACATTGCTGTTTTGTTTTGTCTATGTAGTCTCTCTTGTCTTTGATACATGCGTTTGTTCTGTTGTTAATTAATCTATAATGTGGATAATATTATTAAATCGGTCAATAATAAAAAAATGAATAAATACTGACAAATGGAGAATTTGGTAATCATATAATATACAAATATCAGATGAGGGAGTAATCACTGCATAAAGAATAATAGAAATTTACGTTAATTTTTACATTCATACTTGAATTTGTGTCTTGGCGTTTCTACAAAAATGTTGCTGACACAAAGCTTATGTATTATTTTATTATTAACATCTTTATTAACAAAATCAATTACAATTTTGCCTAATCTGAGGATTTTGATAAAGTCTTATTAAAGTGAGGATAATGCTGGTATTCACTGTCACGCAGGACAGAGGGTCATACATAAGACAATAGGTGTAAACTGTAGGCTGAAGCACATGTATATCATAGTTACAGTCAATGTTTTAATGTACAGATAAATAGCTAGCTGTGTAAAAACTGGTGGCCAACTCTCGCAGGTTAATGGTTAGGCTTGTAACGAAATCCAGAAGACATTTATATTACCTTAGCAATCATTTTAGTTAGACTAATGTATTGGCATAAAACCCAAAATCAGACGTAACTCTTAATCACAATATTATGAAGATGTTAGAAGGATTAGGAAAAAAAAGACTGATAAATTGAGTCATTTCGCTGCAAAAAGAATAAAACCATGAATTACGGAATTTAAACTATTTACAGGCTTCTGTAATAGGTTAGGAGGAGGACGAGGTATTTTAAGCTACCTCTGGCCTTTTCTATGTATGCAACGGCTTTCAAGAACAAAATACAGAAGGTTATAGTGGCTAAATCCTCGGGAACAATGGGGGCGGGAGGACCTTTTGACAAGCCGCGGGGTTCCTGCCCTTGTCTAGGCTACTAGAGATGGTGGCCCCGCCGGGTAAAGTCAGATGAAGTTGTGTATATTGGGGCTAGTTATGTAAGTTGACTGCTAGCTGTGTAATAGATTATATAACAAAATTGTTAAATTTGTCACGGATTACGACAACTAAATTAAATATTTAATGTTGACTTTGAATAGTTGGCATCTTTCTCACTTTTTTCTCGTGGCGTTGAATTTATTTATTGTGTTAAATCATAGTCTCATATCCCATGTTTGCTTAAGTGATATAGCATTTCCCCGAAGGTCTGACAGGAGGCAGTGTTATTGGTTTATCTTCACTATCTCCATGATGAAGCAATCAGTTATGCCAGCACTAGCCTCCTGTGTGGCTGGTTCAGGTGTAAACCGCAGTCATTGTTTTAACTCTTGTTGGATATTATCATCTCGCTGTTCTGAGAACTGCATGTCTGTAGATGAAGAACTGGCGTTACCTATTACAAACATATGTATTGAGACTAAAGTGAGCTGTTGATGGGAGACATTTCATACCCCCCATAGTAATGATCGGATAATGTGATAATATTACAAATTATTCATTGGCACGTGTCACTCTGAGTAACTGGAAAGTAAAGATTAAATATCCCAATCTATAATATCTTGAAATATAACAAATATATTATTGGCTTGTATAGTCATTCTGTGAAAATAGTTATGATTGGGCCCATTAGCCGTGTTTTTGTGTTTTAGTAATTTGGATTAAGTGTGAACAGCAGATATGTTGGAATATATATATCATGTGGTTCAAACAAAATAGATATATTTTGCCAGATATATCTGGCAAATATAGGCAAACCGGGAGTCCCCCTAATATTTGACAGATATATCATGTGGTTCAAATTAAAACACTCTGCTCGCTATAGTTACAAGTGTGATTTATGTTACTAGTGTACTAGTGGCTTTACAAGATTGTAAATACCATGCTATGTATTCTCACAAACCCAATGTACCTTCTTGTATATCAATAAATAAATAAATAAATTGTTTTCAGGATGCAGAAGGAGTCTGTCATCGAGAGGGAAATTCGCCTAGCCAGGGAGCGAGAGGAAGCCTTCAGGAGAGAGAAGGGCATCACCAATTCTTCTCTCAACAACTCTTCCTCCAATCGTGCAGCTGGTCAGCCTCCTTCGACCCGAGCCCCACCAGCAGTGGTGAGCAATGATGGCCGGGATGTCCAGCACCGCCTCGCTACCAACAGGATTCAGTTGGAAATTCAGGAGACCAGCATAAAGGAAAAGGAGCTCAGAGATGCTGGCAAGATTCTTACAATGTCTGAGGACACTGTGGATGCCAAGGTAAGAGTGGCCTGGGACACCTTGCATTAGACCTTACCTCTTTGTTACTGTATATTGTTTGATATATAATTAGTGAAATTTTTTAATATAAAAAATAACTTGAAACAACTTAAAATTTTTTAGTATATTTTGATTTTATTAGTTTATAAGCTTTTTGATTTCACTTACAAGGATTTTGAAAAATATTAGTTTTACCTCTTCATTAAATATTTGTTTAGCGATACTATCACAACCTTGTCAAGAAGGAGCACTGTTCTTGTTATGTTGGTAATTAGACTATTTAATTTTATAATTACATTAGACTTCAGCTTTCTGTTATATTTTTATTTATTTTTGAAGCTGACACGAGGATTCGATGAAAAATATATCTTTTTTGAGAGGCCTGTAAAGGTTAGAAGAAAAAAATTCCTGAGAACAGAAAAGCCCTTCATAGGTGTTGGCTTAACGGTAACCAGTGGAGCTGTTTGTAGTGTAATGTGTTCAGTGTTGTGGTTCATGCAGTTCCTAGAAATGTTAGCAACAAAAGGCACTTAGTGCCGTTAGTGTGCTTGGAGCTGTATATAGCAGTATCAGAGTTCAGAGAGTTAATGCTGTAAATACTATACTTAGTGGTTAAGGATAATTATATTTTAGGTGAATTGGGTATTTGCCCACTTTATTACATCTAGTCATTTTTTGTTCTGTTTTTTGTTTAGATCATTCCACTATTTAAGAGTAAAATTATTTATTTGGACTTTACTTTTTACTGTAGGTGACCCGCATGTCAGATTTTACCGACCAGAACGAAAGCCCACGAATTTGGCCTGCTTCCTCTAGACCTTGCAACTTCAGCACTCCTTCTCCCACCCCGAAGTGTAGTTCCTCACCCCTCAGCCCATCCTCTCCAGTTCCCAACTTCACCCCTTCACCTGCCTTATCCCGAGGCCTCTCGAGGAGTCTTTCCACCACCAACTTGACTAGTACCTCATCCTTGACAAACTCACGAGCACCCAAGGGACTCATGCAGAAGTTCATAGCTTCTCGGGGCAAGATGACAGGTTCAGCGTTTGCATCGCCTCCCCATACCCTCGCCCACACCACATCCACATCCCGGGGTATTCCCACCAGACCGATGAGAGTGGAGCCAAAGGTGCTTTATTGATCTTTTCCCTTCTCATGAATCTCTCTCCTTAATTTGCTTGCTTTTGAGTACAATATGTTCTTAGATTTTTCAATGCTGCTTGAGTGAAATATTAATTGCTTAGCTTTTAAATAATTTTATGCATTTTGTTTCTTAATTACAGTATGTATAAAATGATTTGTCACAAATTTTCAGCAGCCTCAATAATATCCATTTCATACATTATTTTAATAATGTAAATGCAAATTATATTTGAATTTCTTAAATATACATACAATATATATCACTTAATTTGAAACGATACTTACCATGCAAATTTAAGCAAATTTAGTTTGCATACTTTTAGCCAAATTACAAACTTAAACTATCTTGCTCCATTTTACATTCAGGCAACAGTTATACAGCGTGAAACTTTGGCAAGAATGAAGCCAACACCAGTGGACAATAGCTCAAATCTAGACAATACTTCACAATCTCAAAAACAGACCAGCCATGTACAGCAGCAGTATCGGCGGTCATATTGCACAGCAGAGGAGAAGATACAGTCTGAGCTGAAGGAAATGCAAATGCGAGAAGAAGAATTAAGGTATGCTGCTACGACCAAAACATTTAAGTGGTATAATTGATGCAAAAATGTAAATGCAATTTTATTTATAAATAACTACTAGTACAGTTCAGTGTGTTTAACACTTTGAGCTCTGAATTAAAGGCATGCTTCACCCCTTCCCCCCCTTATAGACAATATTTAAAAAAAATACTTAAGGATTGCAGAGTACATTTTTTTAAACCCCAAATTAAATGCATATTTATTCTCTTACATTAAAAGAAAGGCTGAAATCCATCTGGCAGGAATGAACAATTCTCATTCATGTATTTTGCTTGCAGATGCAGTTGTAAGGTACTTTTATTATGGACTCTTAGCATGGTTTATTGCAATATAAATCTTGTTCCACAAATCTATCCTTGTACACTAGTGTATTTGAGGTAGCCAATAGCAATAATTATAATTAATATACCCCATGTGAGGGGTAATCAGGAAGAATAATTTGAGGAAATGTTCTTCAAATTCAAAAATTCAAATTCAAATGTTTATTCAGGTAAAGTACATACATACAAGAGGTTATACAAAAATTTATAGATTTATAGATAGAGCTAGTACATATATTGCCTAAAGCCACTATTACACAAAGCGTTTTGGACAGGAAAAACATTAAAAGACAAAAACTTAATACTTAAAGTTCTTAATTCGATCAGAGCTTGTCTGAAGGGTCAAGAAGCAGAAAGTTTGCATCAATGTAGGTGAAGTCAGAGTGGAGCAGTGTCACTAGTTGTGTGTCCCAGGGGTCTTTTTTTGGGACCTTTGTTGTTCATAATATGTCATCGATCCAGATGTTAGAGGTGAAGAGTTATATCAGTAAGTTTGCAGAAGACACAAAAGTGGGGTGAATTGTCATCTTGAATGAGGACTCTGCAGGACTCGATAAATCAAATCAAATCAAATGCTTTATTTAGGTAAGGTACATACATACAAGAGATTTTACAAAGAGTGATGGATTTATAGATAGGGCTAGTACCTACAATACCTAAAGCCACTATTACGCAAAGCGTTTCGGGCATGAAAAACTTAAATGACTAAAGCTTAATACTAATTGAGCATAAAGAGTAAAATGAAAACATGGAATGAAAACATAGCTGAAAAAGCAGCACAAATACAATTCTGTCGACAAACAGCACTCTTTAAAAAAAACAGACATTGGTTGACAATAGAGGGGTAAGGTAGGTTACAGGGAATTTATTAGGTATAGCTTCGTTTTTATCTTAAACTGGTTGAGAGAGGTACAGTCTTTAACATGGTTGGGAAGGTCATTCCACAATCTGGGTCCCTTGATTTGTAGAGCATTTCTAGTTTGATCAAGTCGTACTCTAGGAATATCAAAACTGTATTTATTTCTGGTGTGGTGCTCATGGGTTCTGTTACAACCTTCTATGAAGCTTTTGAGGTCAGGATTGGCATTACAGTTTAGCGTTTTATATATGTATAATACACATGAGAGAATGTGCAGTGACTTAATGTCTAACATATTCAGAGATTTGAGTAGGGGTACCGAGTGATGTCTGGGGCCAGAGTTGGATATTATCCTAATAGCAGTTTTGTGTTGAGTAATTAGAGGACGTAAATGATTTTGGGTAGTAGAGCCCCAAGCACAAATACCATAGTTGAGATATGGATAGATAAGGGAGTAATAGAGAGTCACCGGGGCAGGGCGGGGTACATAATATCTGATCTTAGAAAGAATGCCAACAGTTTTTGAAACTTTTTTTGATATATTTAGAATGTGTCCCTGGAAATTCAGCTTGTGGTCAATGAGAATGCCAAGGAATTTGCCATCTAATTTGTTACAAATTTGGGTATTGTTTATTTTGAGATTTATTTGATTAGAGGATTTATTGCCAAACAGAATATAGAAAGTTTTGTTAATGTTAAGGGTGAGTTTGTTGGCAGTTAGTCAAAGATGGACTTTATTTAGCTCAGTATTTACTGTGGCATTTAGAGCAAGGGGGTCAGGACTGGAGTAAATGAAGGTTGTGTCGTCAGCAAATAGAATTGGTTTGAGGTGTTGGGAGGCATTTGGAAGGTCATTAATGTAGATGAGAAAGAGGAGAGGGCCAAGTATGCTGCCCTGAGGAACACCAATGTTGATGGGTAGGGTGGGAAAAATTGAATTATTCACAGAAACATGCTGGAGCCTATCAGTAAGGTAGGATTTGAGGTATTGCAGGGAGTGTCCTCTGACTCCATAATGATGTAATTTAAGAAGAAGGTTTTGGTGGTTGACAGTGTCAAAAGCTTTACGCAGGTCCACAAATAACTCAACAGGGAACTCATTTTTATCAAGAGCTGTATGAATCGAGTTAAGTATACTAATAAGTGCATCATTAGTGCTTTTTTTGGGTCTGAAGCCATATTGGCAAGGGCTAAGTATATTGTGTTTGGCTAGATAAGAGTAAAGCTGCTTATAGATAAGTTTTTTCAAAAATTTTTGACAAGTTTGGCAGGATTGATATAGGTCTGTAGTTGTTAACATCTGTGAGATCATAACATTTGTGGACAGGCGTTACTCTCGCTTTTTTTTAGAATATCTGGAAAGGTTTGGAGTTCAAGTGACTTGTTGAAGAGCAATGCAATAGCAGGGGCTAAAGATCTGGAGGCTTTTTTGTAAATTAAAGTTGGTATCTCCTCAAGGGCACTAGACTTGGTTTTAAGGGAAAGGATTATCTCATTGACGTCAGTGGAATTAATAGGCTTTAGGTACAGAGACTGTGGATAGTTACCTGTAAGATAGTCCTTAACGTTAGTACTGGAAGATGGAATATCCTTTGCAAGGGATGACCCAATGGAAGAGAAGAACCTATTGAACTCAATAGCAGAATCAGAGGCTGAATGCTGACCATCGTTATTGTCTAAAAGACCTCGCCACATTGCAGAACTGGGCAAAAAGTTAACAAATGTAGTCCAATGTTGGGAAATGACAGTGGCATTGCTTATAGGATGAGTAATGGAAATTTGGGCAAATAGAGTTTGCAAGAGACTTAGGGGTCATAATTGGCAGTGACTCCAGACATTGCATCAATACACATAAAGCAAATAGTATGCTTCGGTTTATAACCAGAAGAAACAGCAATAAATGCACAAACATCTTCCTCCAATTAGGTTTTGCCTTAGCAAGGTCCAACAGAATATGCTTTCAAATCTTGGTTACCGTATTACAGATTGAACAACAATTCTCTAGAAAATACAATAGGATGACCAGAATAATGATAGGGATTTGGGATCTCCCATAAGGAGAGGATGTGGGAGCTCAGCCTGCATTCTTGGAGGTGCAGATGATGTGGATTTGATTAGGAAGTAATGCCATATTAACATAGAGAAAAAGATCAGAAGGTCTTGGTAGTGTTGGTTGTACTGGTACTGGGCTGGCCCCAGAAACACACAAGTCAGTTATACTAAATGTACCATTTAGTATAAGTCAATTAATCCCAACAAATTTAGTAAACATTTAGAAAAAAATATGATTGACAAATATTGATTTCAAGGTGGTCTCTATTTTCAGGTCTGTTCCAAACTTGCCTATCATTGTACTGGTGGGCAAATCTGTAAAGATTGTTGAGGTTTCTATTACAGTATAAGGTGGTCAGGATTTTCAAGGCTTCACTTTCTTGTGTACTTTTTATGAAAATACAATAAGACATAATTGGCTAAGGAAAATCCATCATCAATCATACATGCAATTTCAGACAACTACGTGCTCGTCAATTGGCTCAGTCGCAACCAAATCTCATGGATTTGGTTGCCGATGAAGATGATCACGAAGATGAAGAGAGTGAGCACAGTTTCCAAGAGATGAATGGTCTCCGTACGACCTACTCCAATCCTAACCTCCTTGAAGATGAGCCAAACCAAACACAGGTGAGTGGTAGGAACTTTGCAGGTAATCGATAAAAAAAATTATGACAGGAATACATACTAATAAATGCAATATTTTGTATAAAGGAATAAAATCATGTAGCAAAGTACAGTTAAGTTCCTTCACCTTAAAATCAGAAATCTCGGGTTTGAATCCTGGGCAGGACAGAAATCGTTTGGCATATTTAATTTCACCTAATGCCTCTTATTCATCTCGCAGTAAAAAAATAATACCCAGGAGTTAGTCAACTGTTGTTGGGTTGCATCCTGGGGATGGTCAGTAGTTCAACCTTGGGAAGAGGGGTACTCGATATGAGCCTAATGTGCGAGTGTGTATATTATATATATTACACACACACACAAAGGTGAGTACAAAGGCTGCCTGTCCCTGAGAAAAAAAAATAGAAATGGTGAAACTCCATTGCACAAAGGTTATACAGGTGTAGAAACAGACCAGTATTATCATAAATATTGTCAACAGTATTGAGGTTAATGTTTGAAGGTTCTTCTTTCTTTTCTGGCAAGCAGTCACCACCGGAAAAAGTCATTTGGGTTTAAGGTAACTTATGTTTAAGAAAGTTAGTTACAGTGGAATATTAAAGTTTTTAATTTCATTGATTGTGTTAGCTTATTGAGAGTAAATTTTTGGGCTCTGTTTTGTAGTACATTTAATAGAAACAATAGAATAAATTTACTGTATTTAGTATTCATAGCAGGTCACTGTAAATTAGATAGCCATGTATTTCAGTGCTATATACATTTTTTTAATTTTGTAATATGTTAGTTATATAATAGGTATTATACTAGTAATTTGTACTGTACTTGTAATGTTTCTGCATAAGGCAAGCACACAGTTATGTATTAGTAAGCACACAAGTATGCTAATAATTTTATTTATATATATATATACAAGAAGGTAGATTGGAATTGTGAGGATACATAGCATAGTAATTACATTCTTGTGAAGCCACTAGTACGCGCAGCGTTTCGGGCAGGTCCTTAATCTAAGAAAATTTTAAGTAGGTAAATACTTGCAAAATTTATAAAAATGATAGTTATATGGCAAGAAAAAAAATAAAAGATGAGATAAAATTGTAGGTATATTAAAGCACATAGGTAGCTCAGATTGATTGCAATGACAGCTTGAATGATAGTTTAACAAAAATTAATAGGCACAATACAGCATATGGCTATATAAAAGACAGCAATGAACACAATGATGGAGTTGTTTGGATTAAGTACATAAAGATTGGGAGATTGGATAACACTAGATAGAGCAAATTTAAAGCTCAGTGTAGGAAACTACGAAGATGAAGTTAGGTACTTTTGGGTTTTGTTTTTAAATGAGGCAAAAGTTTGACAGCTTTTCAATTCACTAGGGAGTGAGTTCCATAGACAAGGTCCCTTAATTTACATAGTGTTTACACAGATTAAGTTTGACCCTGGGGATATCAGAGATATTTATTTCTGGTGTGGTGATAATGGGTCCTATTACATCTGTCCAGGGAGAGTTTCAGAGCATGGTTTGCATTTAAGAACAGGGTTTTGTAAATGTAGTTGACACAGGTGAATGTGTGGAGGGAGTTAATATTTAGCAAGTTAAGGGATTTAAACAAGGGAGCTGAGTGTTGTCTGAAAACAGTTTGTTATTATTCTGATAATAGATTTTTGCTGGGTGATGGACTTGAGGTGGTTGACCCCTATGTACAGATACCATAATTAAGATAGGGATAGATAAGTGCATAATATAGAGAGATGAGAGCAGAGTTAGGAACATAATATCTTATTTTGGAGAGTATACCAACTGTTTTAGAGACTTTCTTAGTTATGTGTTGAATGTGGGTGCTGAAGTCGAGTCGGTACTTGAGACAGTAATTATATATAAACGTAATACTACAGTATATTAGTACTGTATTGTTATTCCCATTCCATCAATTTCTATCTCCTCCTAACTCTGCTCTCCTCTCACTATATTATGCACTAATCTACCCCTATCTTAATTATGGTATCTGTGCATGGGGGTCTACCACTGCAAACCACCTTAAGCCCATCATCACCCAGCAAAAATCTATCAGAATAATAACTATCTGCTTTCAGACAACACTCGGCTCCCTTGTTTAAATCCCTAAACTTGTTAAATATTAACTCCCTCCACACATTCTCCTGTGTCAACTACATTTACAAAGCCCAGTTTTTAAATGCAAACCATGCTCTGAAACTCCCTGGACAGATGTAATAGGACCCATTATCACCACACCAGAAATAAATATCTCTTTGATATCCCCAGGGTCAAACTTAATCTGTGTAAACACTATGTAAATTAAGGGACCTAGTCTATGGAACTCACTCCCTAGTGAATTGAAAAACTGTAAAACTTTTGCCTTATTTAAAAGCAAAACCAAAAAGTACCTAATTTCATCTTCTTAGTTTCCTACACTGAGCTTTAAATTTGCTCTGTACCTAGTGTTACCCAATCTCCTAATTTTTATGTATTTAACCCAAACAACCTTATCATTGTGTTCATTGCTGTCTTCTTTTATGTGCTAGCCATATGCTGTATTCTGCCTACCAATTTTTGTCAACTACCATTCAAGCTGTCATTGCAATCAATCTGAGCTACCTATGTGCTTTAATATACCTACAATTTTCTCTCATCTTTTATTTTTTTTCTTGCCTGTATCTGTTATCATTTTTATAAATTTTGCAAGTATTTACCTACTTAAAATTTTCTTAGATTAAGGACCTGCCCGAAACGCTGCGCATACTAGTGGCTTTACAAGACTGTAATTACCATTGTATGTATCCACACATTTCCAATGTACCTTCTTGTATATGCATAAATAAAAAAAATAAAATAATAAATAAAAATATTACTGGGATAAATGCACATCAAGCTTCTCATTGTATTGCAGTTAGTTTTTCCTTTATTAAAGTGGGACAAGAGTACATGTACAATATCATTGTAAATAGCAAGACAAATGGCATACACACTTGTAAGGAAAACAATTTATTATCTAAATCTACAGAGTAATATGCAGTGCATGATTTGAGAGTCTGGGTTAAAGTTGTAATTACCAACAAGTTGTAGAGTTGTAATTAAAGGGGCCTGACAGCCGAGTGGACAGTGCTTCGTATTCGTAGTCCTGAGGTTCTGGGTTCGGTCCCCAGTGAAGGCAGAAACAAATGGGCGAAGTTTCTTTCACCTTGATGCCCCTGTTACCTAGCAGTAAATAGGTACCTGGGAGTTAGACAGCATCTTGAATCTAGTATGTCACTTGTGACTTGAAGGAGCCTATGTGCTGGGTCAGGTGGGTGGTGGTGGACAAAGATAGGTTAGGGAGAGTGAACAGAGGCTGCATAGGAATGACTCGTCCTACTAGGGCTGCCCCGGGTTAAAATCCCTCCACATCACTGCCTAATGCATTTCAATGTGAAATTCTGAGATTTGTAGGTCAAATCACATTAGCTTGGGGTTGGCGGTGGACCCGGCTGTGTACAATTTACGACACACACATGTGGGAAAGGAGGTACAAGAACTTTAAAAAAAAAAGACATGGGGAGGAAAAAAGAGCATGCGGAAATTTGACTCCAGACCGGCTGCTGCTTCCTGGGGGTGTGCAACAAAAAGGAGGCCTGGTCGAGGACCAGGCCACGGGGACAGTAAGCCCCGAAATCATCTCAAGATAACCTTAGTGTAGTTACAGGATGAGAGCTATGCTTGTGGTCTCCCACCTTCCCAGCAGACATCAGACAGACATTGTGTGTAGCACATCAGGCTTAGCTATTGAGCCTGCCATGTGTGGCAGTGTAACTTAGGGTCCAGGTTTATTTATTTTATTTATTTATATACAAGAAGGTACATTGGGTTTGTGAGAATACATAGCATAGTATTTAGCATCTTGAAAACCACTAGTATGGGCAGGTCCTTAATCTAACAGATAATTTTAAGTAGGTAAATTCTATCAGAATTAATAAAATGATAAATACATTGCAAGAAAAAAAAAGAGATGAGAGAGATTAGTAAGTATATTAAAGCACATTGGTATATTAATGCTCTGATTGATTACATTGACAGGTAGATGATCTTAGGGTCCAGGTAGATGAGAGAAGCTTTTGTTTGGTTAGTGGAGTTGTGAATGGATCCTGTGGCCTGATTTGCTTGTATGTTAGTGCAAAGCTTCACAGATGTAAACATATCTAAGGCAGCACTGTTAATGGCTTGCATAGTGGATCCTTCCAGTGGTTGGTCATTGCTTATCCAATTGTGTGGCACATAAAGTGTTGCTGCTGCTGTCATTGGACGGTCAGCTTGTTTCACTTCTAATTGTAAGCAGAATAAGAAAATCTTGTAAAAAATTTACATGTGTGGAATATTTGGGGCTTGAGTCTGATTATTTAAATATTAATGTAGTAAATTAAATTACGAAGGACCACCCGCTTTTATAGTAAAGAGGGAAACTGAGAATTTCTGATCATTAGATAATTCCTAGATGAACCAGTAACTATGGATAAAATACTAGAGAATATGATCATAGAAATAATTAATGGGCTGTATAATTAAATGAATCAAACCCTCAAACACCTACATTGGGGGGTTATTACTGGAGGTAAGTACGTCCAGGAATTAGTGTGGTTCGTCCACTAATTCAATTAATAATAATCTAATCCTATAAATTATAGTGAAACTGATATCATTACCATGAATGGGAACATAGATTATAAGTATAGTAATGAGAGTTACAGTAAACACATGTTAATCCTGAGGAATTCTGCATATAAAGAATTGCAATAGATTCATGAATGAATATAAAAATCTTAGCTTAATGATCATTCCTTTAGACAAGCCACGGCGTTTCCTCTAATTCTCTGGACTCGGTTGGCTGACGAATGGGACGGATTAACATGGGAGAAGGCGGCATGGAGAATTCTTCTCACGTGCTGCAAGACAAATATTTACAGTAGCAACTAATTTAACTACTGAATCTCTATATTCAAGAAATTGAGAGTTACAGGTGACAAAAATTAATCACCTGTTATTAGATGTTATCGTGCGTCATAACGGTCAATCACCCAGCTACTACAAAACTCTTTACCAGATGCATCACATAAAGGGAATATACTTAGCTGAAAGGGCACTGTATAAGTTTTAAGATTGCCGTAATTCGCGTCCCCAGGCTCCGGCTAAGCCTATCCTGGATAGTGGCGTGCTTCACTGGCTGGTCACGTATCGCCAAGAACCAGGTTAAAAGGTTCCTTATCTGACACCAGCACCAGCTGAAGATATTATCTGCAAGGTCATTCACGCCTCACAGTGACGACCTTCATCTGAGGATGGACAACGTCTGCCCTAGTGGCTGGGCAATGGCGTCTCCTTGTGAGTACGGTATGCGCAGGTCTGCCTCAGAGGGGCTCTCCACATGTACCGAGTTGGTCCTCCTCAACCCACGCCGCGTCCCGCGTTCATAAAACAAATTATGGTCACGAACATTAATATTTCTCGCATTTACGCTTGAAACGTTGAAGACTGGACGGGTTTATTATTTAGAGGAGGAAATTATTATTATTTACCAATTTAAGAATAGTAAATATATAAGGGAGAGGAGTTAATGTCTCCCCATGGCATTCACTGGTGACGTTAACTTTTATTACGAGATAATCGCTATGACTCCAACGCTCTATTCGGCTTTTAGTTGGAGGTCAATTCATCTGCAATTAGTTATCATACAGAATGCCTTAGTTATAGAGAATCGAATTTAATTCTCACATACATTGGATATAATGTGTTTATTGTAAGGAAATCTGACGCAATACTGGCGTCAGGTGACGTGAGAATTCTAGCCTACTGCACAGATGAAATTATTAGTACATGAGAATTCTACGTGTTGTTAATTTTACTTACTACAATAATTAGTAAAGTTAGTAATAAGTAATGAGAATACAACAGTGTTGTATTCGGTGTTGGAAATATCCAACATGTTTTCTGATGAAACCACCGTAAAAGCCACATCAGAAATGTTTTTTCTTATGCCAGGTGATGGGAAAAGAAGTTTCATATACAGCTGAATTTAATCAATTCACTGGTAAAAACTTAAATGTTATAAATGTCTCATTGTGTTTTTTATCAACAGGTCATGGATAAGGGGCAGAGGCGCCGAAGTGCTTTAATTGCTCAATGGGAAAATCGCATTCAGCAAACCACAGACACCTGAGCCAGCATACCTGGTAAGCTGACCAATGGGAAGAATATCTCCTTGTATTAAAACCACAATATAACCAATCATATTTGCATCCATATTAACCCTTCTACTGTGGCATTCATTTGTTGCTACCTACTGTTTGATGCTACTTGACAAAATTCAACAAATAATTCAGGCTTAGAGAAATGTCATGTTTATTAAAAATAGATGAAAAATTTTTTAAGTGCTGTAGTAAGCCTCAAAAAATGGATTTATCCCAGTGTCCCCTATAATAAAATCATAGATATAAGCTTAACTTGTATAAATACAATGGCTGCCTGTCCCCTGATACAAGGAATTGAATTAAGTTGACCAGACCACACTAAAAGTTGAAGGGACGATGACGTTTCGGTCCGTCCTGGACCATTCTCAAGTCGATTGTGATGAGGTAGAGACAGGCAATAAATAGGCAAGAGAGCTGAGGAGGAAAGTACGGTGTAGGGGATAGTAGTAGTAATAATGAGAACTGCAGAGGGCCTATTGGCCCATACGAGGCAGCTCTTATTATAACCACCGAATGAGGAGATAGTAATAGGAAAAAGAAGGATAGCAAGGGAGCGTAGGAGAAGACAATGAACAGAAAAAGGGGAGAAGAATAGGAAAAAGAGAAAGATAAATGGAAGGGGTAAGCTTATGTTAAGTCACGTTTGTTAGAAAGATTAGAGCATTTGAGTATATACTGTGAAAGGGAAGAGGCCACAGCAACAAAGCCAGGACTCAAGTTCATGTTGGGTACATTGTGTATCAGAGCCGATTCTACAAGACGGCGTTTGTGTAGAGTAGAGGTAGGAAAGATTATTTTGGAGGAAGCCCAATCAATGGGATGATTAGAATCCCTCACATGGCAGAAGAGAGCATTGTTAGTGTCTGCAGACTTAACACTTCTCTTGTGTTCTTTAAGTCTGTCATTCAGTGTACGGCCAGTAAAGTATTGGAGAGGACAAGATGAACAGGAAAGAGTAGACACCAGCAGCATTAGAAGCAGGAGTAGCAGTGTGAACTAGATTGCTACGAAGTGTGTTAGTTTGTTGAAAGGCGAGTTTAATGTCAAGAGGACGAAAGGTATTGGTAAAAGTTTTGAGTTCAGATATGAAGGGAAGGCATAGTACAGTGCTACTAGTGTTGGAAGCAGGTTTAGGATGAAAAATTTAGTTTAGCTTGAGAGTAGGCAAGGTTGATGAAATGCAAAAGGATAACCAAGGTGAGAATGATTTGAATTATTAAAGTATGAGGAAGACAGGAGATAATAAAATTGGGTGAGAAGTGAATTTTACTCTAATGTTGAACCCATAATTTTTGTATAAGAGCTAGAAAATATAATGGTCTACGTGTATGCCAATGACTAAATTTACACAGTATTTTATTTTATATTTTGTAAAAGTACGCAAGTTTATTTTTTATTTTTCAGAGCATTTGGTGCTTGTGAGAGCAAGTTATGCCATATGCCGACAGCAGGCCAGATCATCCTCGGCAGCCATAAGGGTTCCATCATGCAGCTCTACATAGCTTTTTGATTCCTATATTAACCATGTCAGAAAGGCCGCAGTTAGCTGTTTCCCTTTGTTCATTATTTTGGTCTTAGTATACTTTAATTGCTGCCAGGATCATAAATTCATTTAAGATAAAATTCACTTTTTTTGTCTGGCTGCTGTGGCCATTCTTGTGATTATAGTGTGATATAGTACCAATCATATTTTTAAGTAAAGTGCTTAAATATTATAGGCCTAATAATCACGGATAGCAGGGTAGCGGAAAAGTTCTTAATTAATCTTCTAAATAACTTTGACACTTGAACAGATCCCTCCCTTATTTAATTCTTCACTTTTATGAAGGATATGCTGTATACACAGTTTATAGTTACTGTGCTTCCTATTTTATTGTAATTATTGTATGCATCTATTGACAAATGTGCTTCTTAGTTATGGATGTCGTTTGCAAACAGTAATTTATGTGACAGGAGACTGGGGCCTCTTTAGTGTTGATGTACATATGTAGATTATGCAATGTTTTATGCTTTTTCAGCTGCATATGTTATTGTTAAATTAATAATCCTTTGTATGTTATTTTAGGAATAACGTAAGTGTAAGGTTAATATTGTACCCTATGGCGAGTCTGCAGGCAAGATTTCTAATCAGCAGCCTTTAGCCCAGGTGTATTATGTTGCACAAATAAAAAGCTTATGTGAAAATTATGATTAATTTTCCTTATACTGTAAACATCTGAGAACACTTAACCTTCTAATAAATGTAAAAACATGTACAGTATTTCATTACCCTGTCAATTTTCTCCACTTTTGTCTTGCATATGAAACATTTTCAAACCAATTAATACTGAAATACATACCCTATTCACACTAATCTATACTTTATCCTGGGCACTCTGGTGCCCAGTAGTCTCTTCCTCCCCTACCCTCTTATTCCTATCTCATCTCTACTTCACACTAACCCCTTCTCCACTAGCACAGACATCTCCATTATACATAGAAAGGATATAATTAGCCAAACGATTTGCTGGCAAGGAGGGAATTACCATCTCCAATTACCTGAGAGCAACCCGAGGTAAAATATTCCAAGAATCTATGACTTTAAAGTTCATAATATTACATTTAAAGATTCATAGTTCACCAATGGTATACACAAGTACCACCTATGGATCCTTATTTTAGCATTTTGGATGATTGAGGCAGTGATTTTGAATTAAACCAATTTAGCACAGATGGTACATTAACAAGGGGACAGGTGGAAACGGTGACCAAATTAAGGAATTATGAGGGAAAATACATTATGACTATAGCATTTATAAAGGAGTCAGGATAAGTATTTGGAATGGGAGGGGGGATAGAAATAGTGCCCAACCACCGACAGTTTGGGATTGAACGCCAACCTGTCTGAAGTGAGACCGTCACTACCATCCAGCCCAAGTGGTTGGGAGAGCCACATTTTAAAGATTTCAGGTGTCAGTAGTTGACATATGGAATGCATTAGGCAGTAATGTGGAGGATGCAGACTATTTTGAGATGTAAATATGATAGAGCCCAATAGGCTCAAGTACCTGTACACCAGTCAAGTAGAACCAAAGCCTTACCTCAACCTCTGCAAGCACACCTAGGCAAGTACACAATCCTGAATGATTTGGGTACCCACAGAAGGTCCTGTGTAACACTTGCCTTCCCATCTTGCCAGAACCACAAGGAAGTATTTAACCAAGCCAGTTCAGTTAAATGTACAGTTACAGCCCTGCTATGCCAGGCATGTCCACTACGGGCTCACCATAGCCTGTGCTACTTTGAAATGTGTGCCCAGTAGCCGAATTAAAAAAAATGTAATTAATGTGCAACTAAACCAAGCCTCTGTAGGTCAGCCTCCCATTTCTCTGTAGACTTGTGCAACCTCTGTTACACCTTTTCTACTTGAGCTAATGGGTGGTTTTATAGTCTCTTTGAAAGGTTATAAGACTAGGTTAACACTTAAGGTAGGGAATGTCCTACCGAGGAAGTAGACACTTCGTCCGGTCAAGTCTTACCAACAGTTAACCCAAGAGTGCTTACCACCCATAATGCCAAGCTTCAGTGGAATTACTAAATCCAAGAACACAACGAAGGTTGTATGGAGAGGGAGGAATAAGTCAGTCTAGTTTTGAACTAAATTCTGTTGTCTGAACACGTCCAAACTATACCTCATCATCCGGGTTCACGATAGCAGCAGCATCTAACATCCTAGTCAGACAGGCCTGCAAGAACATTGTGCTCAATAGTACAAATCACGTTTACACAAGGTAGGTAGGATAAAATGCTAGTCTGAGGTAGCAATTTAATAGTTCAATTTAAATTGAATCTAGAGCCCTTTCTCATGACGCCTTGCATTGATTCTTAGATCAGAAGACCAGTGGTGATGGGCAGTGCCCTATTAATTCCGTTGTTATACATGTTCATTACAACGACTGAACACTTTGCCTTCTCCTGGCTGGCTGTAGTTGGCCGGACCTGGGGACGAGAGTAAATCGACATTAGAAATATCAGGTTTAAATGTTTAATATTGCAGAATCTCTTTACCGTTACACAATGAAGTTTATTAAATCTTAGACACCACAAACATCTTGTTACGTTGTGACCCTATACCCATCTATTGCAGTAGTGTAACCCATAATTGAAATAAGTTTGAGGTAAAATACCCACAAAGGGATGAGGTAGCTGAAGCTATTCTCACCCCGTTCAGTACATCGTGTTATACATACATACACACATCACAAACAAACATTGAGAGATAAACATACATTTCCTCCTTTACACAAGTAGTGTAACCCATAGGTATTCCAACGTTACATCGTTTTCTGCTCTAAGAAAACATTGTTAAAATTGAATTGTATATAATAGTGGTTCGTTCTCCAAATATAAATTTATAATTATGATTTTATTTACTAATTTACCGAGAAGCTCAAAGAAAGCTAAAGCTTATAGTTTACAGAGAAGCACCAGGATTTCTATAATGTGGTAACCTTTAACAGGATGCACTGACAATTTAAATCATGGTTCTAAACCATTGACAATTTAAGCAACCTTTTCAAGCATTTCGATTTTAGTAAAGCATTCATCCATCAACAACTATTATATTCACTGCGACTACTGTATTTTAATAACCAAGCCTAGGGATGGGGACGCAACAAGGAGCAGGGGGGAAGGGGGGGGCGGACGCAACAAAGGGCAGGGGGGAGAGGGGGGACGGACGCAACAAAGGGCAGGGGGGGAGAGGGGGGACGGACGCAACAAAGGGCAGGGGGGAGAGGGGGCGGACGCAACAAAGGGGCAGGGGGGGGGAGAGGGGCGGACGCAACAAAGGGGAAGGGGGGGGGGGGGAGAGGGGGCGGACGCAACAAAGGGGCAGGGGGGGGGGGAGGGGGGGGGGGACGCAGGGGGGGGGATCCTCACCATACAGCTCACCTTCAAGAGACGAAGCTGAACTGTATACCAAAAGTGAGGTAAAACACACTGAAGTGCATTTGGCTCATCCTCCCTTTTATATCCAGCAGCCAACCAAACCCGGCCGCTGATTGGTTGACATTCACGCTAAAACTCACCCCATTGGGTAACATTTTGCGAGTCTGAAGTGTCAATTAACAATGGCCAACAACCACTCCTTTACTTTCACAAATACGAACGAGTCTCTAATGAACCAGTAATGATCCCCAGCTTGAATGTTTGAAGTTGTTCATTTCAAAATCTAATTCACAAACCAAATAAAAGATTCTATTGTAATTGTTGCAACAGAACAACAGGTACAACAGAGCAACATTTTCAGTAGAATCTGCAGTGAACTAATAATCGTCCGTCAGTCAAGAACTGTTAATGGCCGCTCGACAACTACAATATACAATATATGCAATAACAGACTAAGAAATACCCAAAGTTTCTGACATAACACTGGATGATGTTAAATATTTGCTTTCAATTGACTTAAGATATTGCTCGGTAATGACAAATTGAGTGATTTTAGCTTATTGAACTGAGAAAATTTATGCTTTATAATAACTATTAACGTCCAGGATGACATTGTTCAGAATTTATTCTGCACAAGTGGCGTCCTCGACGATCCTCTCGACCTCAAAACAAGACTTCCCGTCACCAGGACGCTCTCCCTGTCTCCGTCTCCCCAAGGTACTCCTCGAGCGCCTGGAGTATAAGTCTCAAGACGAGTCTTATTGGATGTCAGGTGGTTCCCAGCTCCTTCCACCCCCATCTACAGTTCCAACCTCTTCAGTTCTGACTGTCAAAGCTGTGTGTTTACCTAGAGATTTATAAGCTTATAACTGTCGTATCGTAACCTCCACCTCAGACGACCACAGTCAGACAGTAAGGAAGGCAACTAAGACCGTCTCGGGGTACTAAAGAACATCTACAACAACGGGATAACATAACACAACATTGCCTCTCACCACGTCAAGTCTGTCACGTGACACCAGCCTCTGATGTTGATGCCTCTCAAGTCTTCGTACTTGGGAACCTGTACACTGAACATTGCTGCCTTCAACACTGCCAGTGTATCCTCTGGATGCATATAGCGTCCACAAATAGTCACTCGATGTATATGGGGTCCACTACCACCCTTAAGATGGGTATGGGGTCCACTACCAATCCTGTGGATGGTAGTGGACCCCATACCCATCCTATGGGCGGTTGTAGGCTCCATGCCTCTCCTACAGGTGATAGTGGACCCCTTACCCATCCTGTGGATGGTAGTGGACCCCATACCCATCCAACAGGTGGTAGTGGACGCAACACCCATCCAACAGGTAGAAGTAGACCCCATACCTGTCCTTTTGGGTGGTAGTGGACCACCTCTCAGAGTATATGTTCTTGACTGTCATAAATGTTTTTCAACCTTGTGAACAATTAATTAATTACACAAATTAAACAATAACATGTTAGCAAAAATCTTCAAACCTGGTAATGATCACACCAAATTAGGTTAGGTTGGCTTCACTGTGTTTAAAGAGATTAATAACAGCGAAAGCCAGGTCTACCACTGACACGCCTCACCACTAATTAAATTCGGCTCTAATTTTGGAGTAACTGCACATTGAGGTATATTTTACAGCATCTGTATAGTGAGAAAGTTTACATCACTAACCGTACCTTGAAAGATAGTTTACAACGCCTACGCAATGAGAAGTAGTTTAGAATACTTGCACCTTGAGAGAATTTACAACACCTGCACCTTTGGAGGGAGTTTACAACACATGACCATTGAGAGACAATTTACAACACTTGAGCCTGGAGATAATTTGCACCTTGAGATGAGTACCTAAAATTTATAAGATGGGTTTAACACCTGCTCCTTTAAGATAGCTCAGCGGGGTTCTTATCGGGTATAGCCCCCACCGGATACCACTTGTAACCCTCGCGTGCTATCTCTTGCTTCCTGTTCTTGCCAGTGGTTGCTTTAAACAAATGCGCTACAAAACATTGTCTTCTAGCGAGTAGTTTAATGCAACAGAACTTACCAGGTGAGCATTGTAGGGGGAGTTTGCTCGATTCCCAAAGCGAAAGTTGGTTGGAATGAGGGTAAAGGTTGATATTCTGTGGTGGTGGATAGGCTGGGAATAGTGGGCGTGTTTCCCCTGCGGTACTCCGTCAGTGTCCGCTGGAGTTTTCTCGTGCTCGCACCTGTCTCTCGGTGCCGTCAACTGTCGTTTCTGTCTAGGGGTGTGTCGTGGCGTTTATTTGTATGTGGTGGTGTCTGTGGGCGTCCTCTGGTGTTCAATGAACCGTCTGATATTCGTTTAGCTTCCTCTGACGTTCGTTGGTATTTACTGCTACTCCAGCTGCTTCAAGTATATCGTCCACAAAGCTGGTACTTGAGGCGAACAACTTGCCACCAGCAGCAGCAACCCTGACAAAAATAAGTAAAATACCATAAATAAATATGCATTGGAAGAAATAAAATCAGGTCTGGCATACGGAGAATATATTAGAAGAACTCTGTAAGGAAATGTGTTCTAGAAACGATTGTGAATTATATGGGCGCGTATATAAGAGTATTATATCGAGACCAAACACTGAGAATATCTTATCGCGTCCACACACTTTCCCTTCCAGTTAACCAAAGAAAACATTCTAGGGACGAACTCTTGGGTTGCGACTTCCCGAAGAGCGCCATAAAGAGCCAGGGAGGCGACGCTGCAGCAGCAGGAACCGTCACGTGATATCAGCTCAATGCCGGAATAAGTACGACTCAAGATGATACGAACAAGTTCAAGTATGTTTATTGAGACAAGAAAAAAATACATCTCAAAGGGATAGAGTAGCTTAGGCTATTTCTACCCCCCCCCCCCCCCCCATCCCCAACGATACGAGCATCCTGACTGTTAAACGGTTTTGGCCCCCTCCCACCTGAGGCTACGGGCTCACCATAGCCCGTGCTACTTGGAACTTATTGTTCCAGGTAGCGAATCTTTAACAACAACAACAACATCCCACCTGAGGTAATTTAGAAACAAGAGAAGACCAAATGATGATGACTAAAATTCATCAATAAAATTCATCCGGGCAATTATGAACAAGGACATTTTTGTTATATTTAAGAAGGAATGTTCTTGCTGGAGTTAAGAAGGTGACAAGAGGTGGCAGACACACAAGATGCCGCCACGGTTGGTGTTGGGTGTTGGTGTGAAACACATCCTTGTCTACCTTGTCCACTACTTCCTACTACTCGTACCGCCTCTTGCAGGTAAGTCACACCATCTAACGTCTATATTCCCAACTTTGGTAGTCTATATTTCCAACTTTGGTAGTCTCTCGTGCTGGCATGCACACATAAACCTACAATAAGAACTTTTGTCAGTGTCAGAGTAGTTAACAGGTGGAATGTATTGGGGCAGTGATGTGGTGGAGGCTGACTCCATACACAGTTTTAAATGTGGATATGATTCTTGAGCCCAGTAGGCTCAGGAATCTGTACACCAGTTGATTGACGGCTGAGAGAAGGGACTATATAACTTTTATATATTTATTATATATTATATTTTATATATCTGGCCTTTATTATAGTAACTGAGACGGAATTGTCTCCGTGCTTCGCAAGCAATATGATCTGACTGGGTTCGTATCCTGGCGGGGAGGAGTGACTGTGTGCTAATATTTTCCTGTTCTTCTTCTAGAAATAATTAGGTACCTGGCTGTTAAACGATTGGCGGGTCGTATTCCAGGGGAAAATTATAGTGGGTAAAGCATAAGTCTGCTGAGTCTGCTCAGCCGACTAATATGAGTCAAATGTAGTTTGTTTCTGTACCCACTGATGTAAACAAGACAAAAATGAGTATTGACAAACTAAGAAAAGAGAAAACTTTTAGCAGTTATGAGAGAATGTCTAATAATGCCACACACACATAAAAGGCTGTAGACAAGAACCCATGAACTACACTATCATAGAGAGCTTCTAGCTACACTATAGCTACACTATCATACATAGCTTCTGACATGCACATCCTGCAGTGATAAAAGGGGCACTTTAAGAAGAATAGTTAACGCCTTACAATTTAAGATAGTCTAATCTTCTTACGAACCTCTCCGTGGAAAGAAAATTATGCAACAGCTTGATAAGAAGTCTTAGCCTAACTTATTGACTTATAGACTGATCTTAGAAGATCAGTCGTAAAGAACAATAATAATGTATAGTGAACTGTGATATCTTAGACCGATAAAGAGCCTGAGAACATATATATGTTCTCGGGCCTTTACATAATGTCTTACGGGAAGCCAATTTCAAAAACGGGAAAGCCAGACTGTGATATCCGTTTAAGGTTACGATACTTAGCTGGATGAAAGTGTACCAGTGAAAGGTGTCGGGCTGGGTAGAATTGTTGTTGATTAAGATTCGCTACTTGGTACAAAATGTTCCAAGTAGCACGGGGTATGGTGAGCCCGTAGTTCTGGGTAGAAGCAACAAGCGTACAAGGACTATTACAAGGATCAGGATACAAGGAGAATTTGGATCAACACAACTTATGCTATACATTAATAACCTACATGGATATATTATTCATTCCTTCTTTCATATCAAAGTTAGCAAATGAAACCAGACTAATGAGAGAAACACGTGATTAAAAATGTGACAGTGTCCACGGAGGAAAATTGAAACAGGTTTCAAATTGAAACTCCTGTTTCAATTTTCCTCCATGGTCTGACACTGTCATATATACACATACATATAACATATATATATTTGGTCAGTAAGCCTTAATAACCCTTCATTGATTGACAAGCCCTAAGCCCAACAACAAACCCCCCAAACCATAGAAAACAAAAAACAGTCAACTTCTCTAAACAATAAAAGCGAAATTATTGTTCCACATGATAGCAGCAGTTTGATAGAATTCTTATTTATCGCGTTAGATTGGACCTGTAAGACATGAAAGATCTGCATCAGGGGGACTGGTGTTAAGCAAGAATAATTAGCAGGTGTTTAGTGGTAAAAGTGAGTTCAACATCTTATACTTAGACATTTGTGTTAGTACTAGAAAGTTCTAGATACACAGTGAGTTACAAGAGTTTAAAATCTTAGAAGAACACATTACACACACAGAGATCACAATAACGTGATGCATCAAATGAACAAATCCACAAGGGCCGTGACGAGGGTTCAAACCTGCGTCCGGGAGCATCCCAAACACTGCCTTAATCGACTGAGCTACGACAGGGTTAGAAGAACACATGTTGAACTCTTATATCTTCCCCCTCACAGGTATGGAAGTGACCTCCCCGCTGCCTTCACCATGGGCAGACCCAGAGGCCTGTGGCTTCACCTACGACCCGACTCCTGACCTTCAGAACAACACCATTTGTGACCCAGACCACACTCTCGACGAGGCTATGAGTAAGTCCAACAGAATTCTGCGGTGGGCAGCTACTGTTTAACGTGTCAGGACCTCCTGTGGTCCTATTAACATGTGCCGGGGCCTTGTGTGACTAGAATGCTATTTACTAAACAGCAGGTGGTTATAAATATTATAAGTGATCAGAAAAATGTAGACTGAATTTATCCTAGGACAATATATTCCACAAGTCCTTTTTATTTACGAGAGGGTGGCCGAGTGATTTTTGTATAGGTCAAGTTATCCGTAGTTTCTTATCCGGTTCCATCTGGCTGGCGAAGGCTTCCTGTCATCTGTGATACAGAGATCATCAGGCAGCCAGGTACAGGTGGTCCAGCTGTGTCCCACTGGACTGTAAAAACCCAACTGATTCTGAAATATCCACCCAAATGAGGGCGATTTATCTCGCTATATCTGTAGTTATGTCGTCCCACTTCTGGACGACAGCCAGATCCCACTTTTGTTGAGTCCTTAACAAGTCCTCAATAAAATTAAGTTTTTCTATCTTTGTCACTGACTTCGTAATATGTATGAGAGGCAAAGAGACACTGAAAATAAAATAGTTCTCAAGTACATATATTTCTTGCATTATTTGAGAAGCACAGCTAAAATTTATATAGTTTTAATTGGGTAATTTTAACATGTATCGTGTGAAAGAGGCATAAGCATCACTAAACTCTTGGATAATATAAGATGAATACAATAGTCAACAGGGAGTTACTTTCACAAAGAAATGGATTCTGACGAGTTGAACAAATCCACAAGGGCGTGATGACGATTCGAACCTACGTCCAAGAGGATCTTAGACGCTGCCTGGGATTTACACAACTCTGAAGAGTTCTGTAAATCCCGAGGAAGTCACATTCCTGTTACAGAGGCTAATAATACAGAGGTTAATTTGATCCTAGCTAAACCCCCTGAATTTGCTGATGATACAGAACTAATGTACGCAATAGTTATACGTTATTTGTCATATATTTCTACTACCTTCGTGTGTGATCATGTTACCTGATGCATGTCAGTAATTTGCATTTGCTCGCAATGCAAATTTGATATAGCATGAAAAGATTTTCAGACCATACAATGGGATCGAACTCGCATATTTTATTTTAATAATATTAATTAGTTTGTTTGGGACACGAAGCCTATATATATATATATATATATATATATATATATATATATATATATATATAAGGCACAACTCTTCTAAACACGAGAGTGAAGTATACAACAAATTATACGAGTAATTATAATTATACAAATTAGAGTGAAGTATACAACTTAAGCATAGACACTGTGTCTTCCCATATTAACAGGGACTTGATGAAATTAACGTCTAAATGACCCCTCACTTGCTCTGGTGCTCTTGGGAGGTGATGATCTTTGGTGTATTTAAATACTCCGAAATTACCATCTCTTTTAAGAGTCTGAGTGGGTGGTGGAGTGGGTTAAGGCGTACCTGTTATGCCAGTTGCTGGAAGGCTTCTGTGCTGGCTAGGGTTCGAGTCTCCTGGTGGGAAAGTGTTCTAAAGTTGTATACTTCACTCTCGTGTTTAGAAGAGTTGTGCCTTAAGCATAGACACTGTGTCTTCCCATATTAACAGGGACTTGATGAAATTAACGTCTAAATGACCCCTCACTTGCTCTGGTGCTCTTGGGAGGTGATGATCTTTGGTGTATTTAAATACTCCGAAATTACCATCTCTTTTAAGAGTCTGAGTGGGTGGTGGAGTGGGTTAAGGCGTACCTGTTATGCCAGTTGCTGGAAGGCTTCTGTGCTGGCTAGGGTTCGAGTCTCCTGGTGGGAAAGTGTTCTAAAGTTGTATACTTCACTCTCGTGTTTAGAAGAGTTGTGCCTTAAGCATAGACACTGTGTCTTCCCATATTAACAGGGACTTGATGAAATTAACGTCTAAATGACCCCTCACTTGCTCTGGTGCTCTTGGGAGGTGATGATCTTTGGTGTATTTAAATACTCCGAAATTACCATCTCTTTTAAGAGTCTGAGTGGGTGGTGGAGTGGGTTAAGGCGTACCTGTTATGCCAGTTGCTGGAAGGCTTCTGTGCTGGCTAGGGTTCGAGTCTCCTGGTGGGAAAGTGTTCTAAAGTTGTATACTTCACTCTCGTGTTTAGAAGAGTTGTGCCTTAAGCATAGACACTGTGTCTTCCCATATTAACAGGGACTTGATGAAATTAACGTCTAAATGACCCCTCACTTGCTCTGGTGCTCTTGGGAGGTGATGATCTTTGGTGTATTTAAATACTCCGAAATTACCATCTCTTTTAAGAGTCTGAGTGGGTGGTGGAGTGGGTTAAGGCGTACCTGTTATGCCAGTTGCTGGAAGGCTTCTGTGCTGGCTAGGGTTCGAGTCTCCTGGTGGGAAAGTGTTCTAAAGTTGTATACTTCACTCTCGTGTTTAGAAGAGTTGTGCCTTAAGCATAGACACTGTGTCTTCCCATATTAACAGGGACTTGATGAAATTAACGTCTAAATGACCCCTCACTTGCTCTGGTGCTCTTGGGAGGTGATGATCTTTGGTGTATTTAAATACTCCGAAATTACCATCTCTTTTAAGAGTCTGAGTGGGTGGTGGAGTGGGTTAAGGCGTACCTGTTATGCCAGTTGCTGGAAGGCTTCTGTGCTGGCTAGGGTTCGAGTCTCCTGGTGGGAAAGTGTTCTAAAGTTATATATATATATATATATATATATATATATATATATATATATATATATATATATATATATATATATATATATATATATATATATATATATATATGTATAGTGTCCTGAGTGTGTCCTGAGAGTGTCCTGAGCACTCTCCTTTATGGCAGTGAGTCTTGGACACTCCGTGCCCGTCAGGAAAGACGGCTGAATGCCTACCACATGCGCTGCCTTAGACACATCTTGGACATCACCTGGCAGGACAAGGTGACAAACAACAACGTCTTGGGGAGAGCAAGAATCACCAGCATGTACACAATGCTGAAACAGAGACGAATGCGCTGGCTCGGGCACGTTGTGCGAATGGGCGACGGCAGGATCCCCAAGGATCTCCTGTATGGAGAGCTGAGGCAGGGAAAGCGTCCAGTAGGCAAGCCCCAGCTACGGTACAAAGACGAATGCAAAAGGGACCTGAAAGCCATGGACGTCGATCTTGCTATATGGGAGACACTGGCTGCAGACCGTTCAGCCTGGAGGCAGTCTGTTCAACGAGGTCTCTCCAAGTTCGAGGAGTCACTTGCCAAGGAATCGGAGGCAAAGAGACAGAGAAGGAAAGCCGGTAACCAGGAAGACAGACCAGAATCGGACTTCGTTTGTGCTCGGTGTGGGATGGACTGCCACTCTCGGATTGGCCTCATCAGTCACACCAGACGCTGCACCAGGATTGACAACTAGGGCGCAACTCCATAGTCTCCCGAGACTGAAGGATGCCTACTGTACTATATATATATATATATATATATATATATATATATATATATATATATATATATATATATAACAATAACAACACTGCTTTTATTACAAACCTAAATAATTATGATAATTATGTCATATAATACCAATTCAAATGACTAATGACGAACTATTGTTTCAGGAGCCATAATGGAGGAGACTTTAACCCAGTGTAGGGAGAAGACATCCAGTCATATCCCCATCATTGTATTCCTCGCTGACTTTCTCATGTTCCCAGGTAAGTTGGTATTGTCACACCTACACGGAAGTGCTGAGCTCACTGCGTGAGAGCAGGTAACGAGGTGAATACAGTCTCTGTGGTGTAGTGGTAAGACACTCGCCTGGCGTTCCGCGAGCGCTATGTCATGGGTTCGTATCCTGGCCGGGGAGGATTTACTGGGCGCAAATCCTTAACTGTAGCCTCTGTTTTGGGGGGTAGAAATAGCCTAAGCTACTCTATCCCTCTGAGATGTATTTCTTGCTTATCTCAATAAATATACTTGAATTTGAACGAGGTGAATTAGTTCGCTGGGTGAGCCAGGTCGCTACTTGAATGACATCGAGGTAGGCCTTTGGGCGAGTCAGGTCTCTGGGTAAATCATTTCACGGTGAATGAAGGTCAGGTCACGGGTAATTGAGGTCAGAACACGGAGTGATAGCCAGATCGTAAGTATCAGTGGTCGAGCTCAGTAAAACTATGAATATCTCTATACGAGCAAGACAGGCAAATAGTAGAACAAACCTTAAAGTTAGTAGTTTGTAACTAATTGAACACCGTTCCACCAGATGGCGCAGATGACCCCATCTTATCGGTCGAGGACCTGCTGGATGCGTTAGTGACCTCGTATAACCTGCCAGCACACCCAAACGTTATCCTGCTAGTGGTGGTCAATAAACCTTTCAAGGTAAGCTCAAAGTTACATTAACGGGTCAAGGCCATATAATTGAAATTGAAAAAAAGTTTATTGAGGTAAAATACACACAAAGGGATGAGGTAGCTCAAGCTATTCTCACCCCGTTTCAAGGCCATATATAAGACATTCAAGAATCAATCGTGGTGCCAGCAGCCTTAGTTACAGTGATTGCGGGGCCACTAATCCTCGTTACCCTCATCATTTACTACTCCACCAGCTGGAAAATACATAAAAGAGTCTGGAATCTGAGGCAAAAACATCCCACTCCCACTGAAATGGCATCGGTGACTTCACAAGTAGGTAAACCACATTGATGACATCACGTTGATGGTTGTGCTCCTTCATGTCAGACTGAGTTATGTTACTTGATCTTGTATCCAGAGCACACTGTATTCCCGAAGCTTGTATTCCAGTATTCAAATACCGCAGCGTCTCGTGGAGCTGTGTACGGTTATCTTGAGATGATTTCGGGGGTTATCTTGAGGTTATCTTGAGATGATTTCGGGGCTTTAGTGTCCCCACGGCCCGGTCCTCGACCAGGCCTCATTTTTGTTACACACCCCCAGGAAGCAGCCCGTAACAGCTGTCTAACTCCCAGGTACCTATTAACTACTAGGTGAACAGGAGCATCAGGGTGATAGAAACTATGCCCATTAGTTTCCGCCTCCACCGGGGATCGAATCCAGAACCTCGGTATATCCAAATAACGCATAGCCTATTGGGCCTATATCCAGTTGATACACAACTATTTGGATCAGAGTTCGATTCACGGACAAGCAGAGACGTTTGGGCACGATTCTTTACACCCGATGCTTCTGTTCACCCTATCAGTAAAAAGGTACCTTCTGGAGGTAGGCAACTGTTGTGGGTTGCATTCTGAGTTAGGTCAGTCTCTGGCCTTAGCTATGAGGAACCCTGTTAAACTTACACAAGCAGTTAAGTACTTACGAACTTGTACATCTTTTCTCAATATCTTTTGAGAAAAAGCATAACAGACAGAGAACCATAACAGAAAAACATCAACATAAGCCTTAAGGCAACAAACACATGAACAGAACTCAAGAACAGTATAACAAACACAAACAAAAGTTGTATAATACACAAAAACATAAACATAGGTAAACACCTAGACACAGTCATAAAAGAAAAAGCACCAGAGCAATAAACCAACAATAACGAGGCAGGAAACACATGAACAAAACACAAAAACAGTATAACATCACATTTTCTCAATATCTGGTGGCTGCTTTGTCTGCATGTATTAAACAGTTAGTTCATGAGCTCCGGGACATCAAGAGGTTGTTTATAACAATAACAACATTTGATTGTGAAGTTTCGATGCTCATAACTTATTCAATGAACGTCAACAAAGCAGCCAAAGATTGAGAAAAGATGTACAATTTTATAAGTAGATGCTTAACTGCTGGTCGAAGCCTGGTCCAAGCTTCCTATCCTCACAATAATAGCAAACTAAATATCGCGTTGCCTTTTGTGTGATGTCAGCAATGTTCATGTTTGTTTACATGTGATGTGACCGGTGACGTTTTACGGTAATATGTTTTTTGTGTGTGTGATGTGTCTGTTTATGTATGGACATGTTGTACTGAACGGGGTGAGGATAGCTTGAGCTACCTCATCCCTTTGTGTGTATTTTACCTCAATAAACTGATTTCAATTTCTTCCATTGAAGAAATTGACTCTCATTGACTAGTTAATATGAACTTTAAATACATTTAATGTGCCCGTTTTAATTTTGCAAATCTGTTTTTCTGCAGATCTTAGAGTGGCAGAGCGCGTCCCTGTCTTCCATACTACCAAAGGAGGCTTTGCAGAATGTACTGGAAGGAACCATGGCGTTCCATGGTGTACATGATTACTTCAGCTCTACCATCTTCCACGCCCTCCACCCGCTTTGTGAGGTTGGCACCCCTTGTTTCTCTTCCATTTTACACACATTACACTTCCTCTGTGAGATTGGTATGTCCCTGCTGCTTTATTATCAGTCTGCACTTCTGGAAGGTGAGCATCCTTTTTTTTATAAATAAATGTTTATTTAGGTAAGGTACATACATACAAGAGATTTTACAAAGATTGATGGAATTATAGATAGAGCTAGTACATAGAATGCCTAAAGCCACTATTACGCTTTATCCTTTATCCTTTACTATGCTTGCTTCTCTTTCGTCAGGCACACTTCGATAGTTCTGTAAGACTGGTATCCCCTGTTGTTCTATTATCTCGCTCTCCATTTATGAAATGATTGGCACTCCTGTTTCTCTTCCATATTTCACAGCCTCTCCTCTGCGAGGGTAGTACCCCTGTTGCTTTTCCCATATTATATATGGGAAAGGCTTGTTATCCAGCCACAGAAACTGTCCCTTCCCAAACCCCATCAAATTATCCACATAATTTAAGGGAAAGTCTTGCTTTTTTAATGTTAGGAAGCTCTTATATATACATATTATTATTCTTGCTGTAGCTGTTATTGTTATATATATATGTCCTTAGATTTGTGTGCGTGTCAAAATGGTGCTAGGCTACACATACACTTGTACCGTGATTCACGTAAATTTCTCGACAAAATTTGTCCTTATCTATGAATTTGATATAGATATATATTTGTGTTGACCAAACCACACACACTAGAAATAGAAGAGACGACGACGTTTCGGTCCGTCCTGGACCATTTTATCAAGTTGATTGACGATTATCAAAATTGAAACGTCGTGTCTTCAATTTCTAATGTGTGGTTTGGTCAACATTTTTCAGCCACGCTATTGTGACGTTTTATGTGTGTGTGTATGTATATGTATATTTGTTTTTGTTTTGCAGATACTGCGCAGAGAAGGTGGGACGTACACGACGAAATACATAATGCTAACGGTTACTTGGGTGGTGTTCGTTATTGTCTTCGGCTTAGGCCTCGTTAGCATCGGTGAGTCTCCACAGCACCTTAATGACCCGTCCTTGTGTGATCCCAGTCTCACCTTACTGCTATACTATAGCTTAATGGTCAGTTTATATATGGTCCGTTCACTGCCGGAACGTCACACGGGAGACATCTCCCGTCACGCAGGGTACAGTCGCACCTCCACAGATCTCCAGTATCAGCTCTTGATACTGGTAATGGCTCAAAAGGGCCACCACTTACGGACTATTCATGCCCGTGCCACCTTTTGGGTGGCTTAATCTTATCAATCAATCAATCAATCAGCCGAAACGTCTCGGGTTCGAGGAGCCCTGCGGCAGCACAGAAGCGTTCCATGGGCAATTGTTTCTTTTCACTTAATGTCTCTTCATTTAGCAGTAAATAGGTACATTGCCTGGTAAGTAACCGTTGTGGGTTGAACCTTGTAAAAGATCAGTACCTAGAGATACTGATATCTAAGGATATAAGATATATAAAATATATATCTAAAGGACCTGCCCGAAACGCTGCGCGTACTAGTGGCTTTACAAGAGAGTAATTACTGTACTATGCTATGTATTCTCACAAACCCAATGTACCTTCTTGTATATAAATAAATAAATAAATAAATAAATAAATAAATAAATAAATAAATAAATAAATAGGATACATATCTAAGTCCTACCTAAGGACCTAGAGAAGCTTAACAGGATCCGTCACTCGACATAGGATACGATATTGAAGCCTCTTCAAGAACTAATCCACTTAATATGAAAGGGAACTTACAAAACTATACAAATAAAACCGAAAAACGTGAATTTTTAAACGAGGGAAGGGATATAAAAAAAATCTAGGCCTAATTTCTAATTTAGCACAGCCTAAGTCTAGTATAACTTAATTTAAAATAATTTTAAGTTCGATAATGCTTGAAAAAGTACAGATTTGATTAGTTTTTCTTTTATTTTTGTCTTGCAGTCCTCTTAACAAATATATATTTTTTATTCCTGCTTTATTTTTGCTAAACTAAATGGTTTAGTTCACAAATGGAATTTTCAATGTTCCAATACTAGTAATGTTCCATGGGGTTTCGGACAGTTTACCGCCACCTGCAGCCTGTTTGAAATATATATATTGCTCTATTTGATCTATTATCTCCTGTATTCGGGGCAACGGATACACATCACCCTTAGTTAGTTCGTTCACCTTCCGGTAGTCAACACAGAAACGATAACTACCGTCCGGTTTCCGAACTAGCACAACAGGAGAGAGCCACGGTGACGTACTAGGCTCTATTACGCCCTGTCTCAACATTTTCTGGCACTCCTCCCTGATAATGTTCTTTGCCTGTTCCGGCAACCTCCACTGTCTTGTGTACACAGGCAAATGGTCACCAGTTGGAATGGTGTGCTCGATCTTATCAAGGAGACCAATCTGGTCATCCTCTGTCGCAAACAATTTCGGGAATTTTCGTAAAACTCCTCTCAGTGCCTTCCTATCTGCCTGTGCAACATGTTGCAAATCAAGTGCTGAAATTAATTTTTCCACTTCCTCAACATTCTGTGCAACATTTCTCGTCTCGTATTGTACTTTGGATGGTGTTTTAGTGTTCAACATATTCAGTGCACTACATTGTGCAGTGACGGCTGGCGTCTCAGCTGACTCATGGTGAAAGATTTCTGTGTCCTCCACCATGGTTCCCTGAGATACCCTATCACCTGCCCTGAAGCGAAAAGTCTTATGTGAAAGATTGACAACTGGAATGAGTGCACCTTTATCGAGCACTACAACTAAGTGATGAGGAATTAATAAACTATCACATCTCCCAGCCACCTGAAGGGTGGTACCTGGTTGTATGTGACGTCCCACGGCTACTTTAATAAATTTAACAGAATGTGGTGGGCAACTCTGTTTGGTCAATGCATGCAATGCGCATGACCTCTTAACTGTGTCTGGAAGAGACTTAAAAATCAATTTTGGATAGTGCGCATTATATTTCAGCTTCCTCTTAATTGAAGCTACAACTGGGGGATGGTCGATCATCTCCACTGGGTAAGAAGTCTGTCCCAACTGCAACCTGCAGTTCCTAGCCCCTTTTTGAGCAGACAAGGAATAATTAAATCGCGACAGAAAATCAGTTCCCATTAAGATGTGACCAGGAAAATCAAGGTTCTCTACGATCGTACATGTGTGAGGCTGCAATTCCCCATCAATCTCAAAATTAACTGTACCTTGACCTACGATCTCAATCTTTTCCCCATTGACTGCTGTTAATGTCTTTGCGCAACGTTGAAGACGTGCATACTTAAAATTGCTGAAGGCTGACTTTTTAATTACCGTTGCCTGGCTTCCTGTATCAACAAAAGCTGTCAATCTCACACCTTCCACTTTCACCTCAAAAGTAGGCCTACCATCACTAGGAGCCTGCTTTCATGCTTTCGTAGGAGTGACTTCGCAATCCCTCTGTATATGCCCGCGCTTCCAGCAGGAGTAACACCTCCGCGGATCTCTGTTGTTACCCCGCGCAGGGTGGCTCGAACTTGCAGCTGAGGGCTGCTTCCCGCCTGATGAATCCGCGCCACAGTTCCTCGGCTTGGCTCCCTCGCCTTTACTTAACGCCTCTACGTATGGCGACAACTGAGTGCCCGGCGTCTCCGTGCTCATCTGCCTGTCTAAGGCTGTGGCGGCCTGGGGTTGGGGTTGAGGTATGGTGTGGGTGGCCTCGGGTTGGGGTGTGGATTGAGGTTGGGGTTGAGGTATGGTGTGGGTGGCCTGGGGTTGGGGTGTGGATGGAGGTTGGGGTTGAGGTATGGTGTGGGTGACCTCAGGCTGGGGTGTGGATTGGGGTTGGGGTGGGTATGGGGTGGCCTGGGGTTGGTATGGGTATGGGGTGGCCTGGGGTTGGAATGGGTATGGAGTGGCCTGGGGTTGGGGAAGGGTTGGTATGGGAACTGAGGATGGGGTTGGTATGGGAATTGAGGATGGGGTTGGTGTTGTTGTAGTGACGGATGAGGTGTACCTAGGTGGTCCCCAGTGGTGTCGGAAGAGGTGCTGTCCTCTACACTTCCACTTCCACTCCCACTGGTCCCCACTGACTGGTCATTATCTGGGTTAAACATTTTCTGTGATTCCTGGTGTGCCACGTCTCTTCTAAACTACCCTTTAGTACACCCTCGACCCGGACTCACTACAACCGTGATCTTACACAAATAATAAAAAAAAAAAATCGCAACTCTATTCTAAGAGAAAACTACTAAATTCCCAAAATAGGAAATACAACGATTTATCGAGAGAATCGCTGAAGTGAATCCAATGAATGAGTGTCTGCCCCGCACTCGTGTCTGACCGTGAAATATCCCGCAGTTCTATTGCTGAAACCTAAGTCCTTTACGTTAAAAAAAATTAAAGAATCTAATTTATATAAAACAATTTAAATGATAACGCCACTAACGCGCAGCACTCGTGATGGATTAATAAAGAATATTTCCTGTACTTGAATACTAAGCGCGCTTGAAGTGAGCAGCGTGGCCACTGATGACTGATGGAGCGGGACCAACTGCGCTGAAAAAAAACTAAGTCCCGCGCTTTTTCGCTTAAACGCTGAAAAATCAAAATTTTTGTTCTGAAGGAAAATAACTAGTTTTACGTTAATAAACCGCTCTAGCGATTAATATAGACACCCAGGACCTATAAATGCTTACTAAAAATTGAATTTTTATCAAAAAAACTACGTTTTTACTCAATTGTTGGACTCTGCCAATTTTCCTGACTCCGAGGGAAAAATTTCTATCACCCCAAATATCACAAAACTCCTTTAATTCACAAAAATTTGGGTTTCTCGTTTCCAGATATAAATACGTTATTATTTAATACTGACGTTGTATACAGAACAATACTGACACTTCGGGCGGTTTCAACACTCACTAATTCGATTTTTCGTCAAAATCCGAGATTTTCACCTCAAATGGACTCTGACAAAATTACGACACGATTTTCTCGAAAAATAACTAAATTCGGCAAAAATGTAATTATCACTGTTTAATGCTTACGGACAGAATTACGTCCCTTGCGCGCACTAGAGAGTAATACTGGCCCCAGAATATACACAAAACATGAAAATTAGAATTTCCGCCAAAAAGTCAGATTCTAGCCCAAGCTGGACTTAGAAAATTTTCCACCTACGTTTCTACTGAAAACAGAATTCCAAGTCTACAAACACAATTCTACCGTCTTACTGGTAAAAACTAGAAAATATCACTCGCATCGACTGGAGAATGCTAATGACGCCCAGATCATACACGTGACCCACGAATACAAATTAATTAGTTAACGAGTTTCCGACATCGACTTAGCCGAAAACTTATCCCAAAATACTTAGAAATATACCACGGACTCTATTAAGCATTTACACGCAACTTATTATCCCTTAAACTCCTTCACTTATCTATCGTGACCGACATATAGCCCTAAGTCCAGAGGATTAACAACGCCTCTGACTTAGACTAATAGAACAGGGAATAACAAAACTTAACGTACGCACTTAGCCTAATATGCAAGAAAACGCTAAACACTTGGGAAAATTTTTAACCGGGGATTGAATTTAGGGGAAAAAATTAATCTAGAACAACGCAAATAAACGGAAATTACTTTATAAATTTAAGTATACTTAATTCAAAAATGCACTCGACTTAACCTTATAATTGTTCCTACCGGCTAACCGTACCACACCTAGCCTAGAGGCCACACCATCTAGGTTCCAACAGAGCGACACGCAGCTTTCAGCAACAATTATGACTAGGGACGACTCAACCTCCACTAAGTGTGCGATCACTTAGTTGTTGAATCGCTGCTAGGTAGTTTACTAGTCCGTCCCTCGGAGGCCGCAACGCCCTTCACGGATTACGTTTTTCCTTAGCGTTTTGGGTCGTCTAATAACGCCCTCGGACTATCTACTGGCGTCCCACAGATATATCCGCCCCCGACAGCCCTCAAGGAACTGCTGTTGAGAGTATGGTGGCTCCCAACACCTCTGAATTAATTGCAATGGGTCGAGTATGGTACCCAGTCCAATCAACTCGGAGCGGTCTCCTTTTCAATAAATCTATTTTAACAGTCTAATCTTACTAACTAACCTTAATCATATCAGCCCGCATGACCCAAGATTCGCCAATCCCCACTCAAACGCACTTGTGGGGCGCACTGCTAATCCTGGCCCGCGGCTGTCTCCTTAGCATCCGCGCACGTGTTCGAACGGCTAGACGCGTGAGCCTTTCAACAATTTCAAACAAAATTGTTGAAACCACCGCTGTCACCATTGTAACACGGGTTTGGGTTTCTCTCTCTTTACTTCCTTCTTTCTACTCCCTCTACCCGTATTCTTACTTTTATTTCTAAACCAAGGGACTCCAAAACTTTTACCAAAGCCAACTCCACGCCACGTGGTCCTAAGACGATTGACCGACTTAGGATTCTACACCCAGTATGACGTGACCTAAGCTCTGAACAAAACCCTAGAGTCACCTCTGCTGCCACCACCAGACCAGTAATACAAGAGCCATGATCGAGGTCTGGATCGATCACGCTAATTAATCAACCTAGGGGCTTGATCCCCACTATAAACGATGACCTTGAGTGTGGAATAAATTACACGGTAATGATAATTCCGATTCGATGTTAGAATCGGCGCCCAATGCAACTCCGCCTCGTGTGGACCACGTGACCAGGACAAGTATACACATAAAACACATGGAAACAATAAAATGCAAATTAATAACAAATTTAATTTATTACAAGAAAACTAAAACAAAATCTAAATGTGTTCACTCCCTATCACTTTAACACTCCCTACTTGACCTGAATGGCAAATGAGAAGACTATTTCTATACATAACCATAGCAACTATACCTCTATGTTTTCCAGCTAAGATGTTGTGCTGGTTTGGGGAGAGGTAAGATGGTTGACCTCTCCCAGCTGCTCCCGTATTCACACTGATTTGTCCTCGTCTGGCCTAGCCCAGACTAGAACCTTGTATCCTTCCGCCTAGTCAAAGTTTTACCAAGTTACTAGCCAGGTTTAAGTTATAACAATTAAACTCTGTTGTACTTAATTGATCCAGACTGGTTGAATTATTTTACTGAATTAAATTACAAACATCTAACGGCAGAGCTGTTCCCGATCCCCAAAATGGTTAATAAAACTTTGAGAAATATTAGACATGTCAACCCTGCTGACCTATGACCGCCGGTCACTCCGCCTTAAAAGTTAGATCCGATTCGTGACGTCACTGATGGTGACTTAAACTCAATAATTAGAATACTCTTGATATTGTATCCAGTACTATTATACAATACAATTTTAATGCAAAATGAATAAAGGCTAATTTTCTCTAATTTACTGAATACTATAGGATGGTTCATTATACGCAGTTATGAACAACGCGTCGGTTATTTCCACCGCGAATCCCCCTGGGGGTCAGGTCACCATGCGGCTCAGCTTCCCATTCTCTTTTGTCGATAAACCACTCTGGATAATTCTTACAACAGCCTAGTTTGTTACATGTGGAGCAATGAGAGATGCAAATGTTGAGTCACAATACCGTGGGTAAAAAAATGTTGAGTCACAATACCGTGGGTAAAAAAATGTTGACCAAACCACACACTAGAAATTGATGAGACGACGACGTTTCGGTCCCTCCTGGACCATTCTCAAGTTGACAATCGACTTGAGAATGGTCCAGGACGGACCGAAACGTCGTAGTCTCTTCAATTTCTAGTGTGTGGTTTGGTCAACAATGATATGGTGTCTTTTCCAAGTAGCCTTTCCTGTTATTTGAGATTGTGGCCTTTGTTTTTATAATATAAATTATAATATATAATTGTCAAAGAAAATGGAAGTCTTCCTTATCTGTCTTTCCATACATTTGTATGATTTGTATGTAATCATATTATTTAAATTCTGTCTCCAAAGATAAGCATTTGTCTGTATATGTGATTACTTATCAGTGTCTTCGTGTCATTTACAATATTATATTTTACAGAAGTCATAATTGTATTTCTAATAATTTTACCTTTACTATGACCACTATTACAACGACCACCACCACTAATATTACCATCACTTATTACTAATAAAGTATGATGACAATAGTTATTACTATTGGAATAGGTATTATTGTTAGTATTACCGATGTTATAATTATCATTATCAACATCATATATAAAATCACATTTCAAAATGACGACACTATCTCTTCTTGTCTGTGTTCCAGCAATCTACTTCTTCAAGGTACATCATAGCGCCTCCAAGAACCAGCTCCACGGTGAAGACATCCACAACATACGCGGGTCTCGGGGACGCTCCAGCACCCACCCAATGTCTGGGGACATACGCGAACTCACCACCGTTTCCTACAGGTCGACGGGTCACGTGCTCCTCGGCACCAGTGATATTACAGCCCTTGCTGTTCAGAATTGCGCCTCCACGGATAATCTCATAAACACCTAGTTGGCATCCATCAGTCTCAGGAGACTATGGAGTTGCGCTCTGGTTGTCGGTTTGGAATGGCCTCTCCAGGGCGTAAAGCCAGGATAGGTTGATTTGGAGGAGAAGCTGTTACCCATGCAGCAAGTCTACCCCCTCTCCAGGGCGCCGAAAGTCTCCAATGGCAAGGCAAATGCTAATACGATTGGTTCCAGTGCCGTCGCAGGAACTAAATACCTAAACACACACATAACTGCAGTAGTGAAACAATCCTAGGCTCAATGCTGGTCAATTTTGAGATAGGTCTTTAGTATATGGTGAAATGTTGAAAATGATGTTCTCGGAATATCAGATAGGCACTATACTATGCAGCAGAAACTTGGTGCCCACTTATATAGAAACTAATATGTAACTGGTTCATAGACATACGAGAAAACGGTTTCTACAGTTAAGAAATACGAGTTATGAAGAAACATTTAAGGAAATTGAAAATATACAATTATTTGATATACCAATACAGTATATAAAGGCTATGATAGGCAAACCATGTGGCTGTATTTCAATTATTCTGGTAGATAGTATAAGCTGTGTCCAGAAGGGGGTAGTCTACACGAAGTGTAAGGATAGTCGCTAGAAAGTAGTAGCCTACAGAGAGTGTGTAATCTCCGGAAGTAGGGTATTTTCCAGAAAGGGGAAAGTTTTCAAAAGGAGTTAGTCTAAAAATGAGGTAGTGTGTATTAAAACCACTAAAACCTTTTATATTAAGACTAATTCAATAAAGACAAGACGCCCCGAACACATAACCACTGAAGAAATATGAAAAACTACAGAAAATTATAAGCACACACGTCACAGGTAAGCGAAGGGATGACTCGAATTTGTTGAGAAATATAATGAAACACATCAACCAAGTTTTGGTAAGTGCTTGGGTGATAGATTAAACAGTAAATCAACCGAAATCAGGAAGAGGAAAAACAAGAAATGACGGTAAGGGCCAGTCCTTGTGCATTCATAAGACCACCAATAAAGAAATAATGCTTTAGCAATGCACAAAGGAACGAGAATAGTGCAGAAAACTATGGCTATCTTACCTTGTTGTTTAAGATTCGCTACTTGGATCAAAAATTTCCAAGTAGCACGGGCTATGGTGAGCCCATAGTGGATGATATCTTACCTATTGTGTGAACAGATGAGTGGTCTTGTATGGCTTTTGAGACTTAATGCTGATGTAGTCATAAGTTTAGCGTAAAGGGTACATGCTCCTGTTTTAGATTCAGCCACTCTGAACAAAAAGTTCCAAGCAGCACGGGCTATGGTGAGCCCGCCCATCGTCTCTTCAATTTCTAGTGTGGGGTTTGATCAACATATTTATACTGTATATCGAAAAACTATGAAATTAACCAACACCAATATAACGCTATCATACTTCAGCTGTAAATTCCTGCTTTATATATGTGTAACTTATCAGATTATCATGTATATAAAAAAAAAATTTGAAAGCTGAATTTATGCGCCTTAATAACTTAGTTACATTGCAATAATACATAATATATAATTAGGTTCATGTGTGTCGTTTCTATTATCATATTACATAAGCTAACATCAACAAGCTGTATATTTAAGACTAACAATTTTGTAGTACCGTTACAAAATATGTAACATTTAAGCATTTTTTTGTAATTAATGTAATTTTTTATACTTTCATATTTGACGCAGTTGTTATGGAATGACGATAGGTTTTTAATTGACGGAGAGAATTATTAGCCTAGCGCTAATAATTATTAATCTAGCGCTTAAGTAAGTCAAGAACTACAGTTTACGGTTATGTTAGAGAGAACGTGAGCTTGTCTTGCGTAAATTTATATTAAATTTAACACAATAAAATAAATTATATACATTTTGTGTGTGTGTATTACTGCCGATTAAATGATACAATTATTTCTTGTTAAACTTTTCATTATATATACTTGTATATAAGTCTGATTCTGTATATTTTTTGATTATGGAGGAATTTTTTTTAACACAATGATGAGAGTAGACTTTAATTGTATATGATGCTTCTCTTATAAGCGCTTTATCAAATTTGAATCCCTTACAGGCGAAGAAGCGACAGCAACAATTAAAGTCTAGCCTCACATGTTAGTGTCATTTTTCTACTGCACATCCTTTTGAAAAGATACAGCCATCCAAGATGATCCACACAACTTGGCAAGAATTCTGGGGAAGAATTCTTGCATTAGCTGAGGCAGCCAACCTTGGGAGCACCGCAAGCTGCTTCCCTCTCTCAAAGTCATTGTGGTTCATCTGGCATGCTAAACCATTCTAACCGGGAAAAAAACTATCAAATACATCCTTTTTTCTTCTCTCTCCAGAGTTAAAAATTCAATGCTTCTCAACAAGGTGTTTGCGTTCAAGATTCGAGCTTCTCCAATCACTCCATGATGACGAGTAAGAAAGACATGTACCAGAGCTAAGACGCCAGTGACTGGAGATTATAAGTGATAGCTAATATCTATATTATCTGTACGAGACCTGTTGACCTCTGAATGAGTGTGACACACTTTCTCACAGTACGTGCGTGTGCACCTACCTAAATGCCTTTACACAGGGACAAGCAGCATCTCATAAGTCCAGCTTTTCAAGCCATTATAGCCATAAGGCTATACCTTTATAGCCATAAGGCTATTCAAACCATAAGGCAACATTCTCTAGTTTTTTTTAATTAAATTTAAACAATTCTGCATGTACCAGGCATTTATTCTGAGTGGTTCTCATTAAAATCTTGGCCCTGGACAATATCTAAATATTTTAAGAACGGTCGTAACCTTGGACGCTCATACGGATTTCGTCTCGTGGGTAGGTCAATACTTTCTGAGCGAGTTTCTTCTGTATTAGTCCTTAACCCATCAACACTAAGATAACGAAGAGACCCGGGCATAGCCGGGTATCGTCTATCAGCACTGAATGAATCTGCGTTTCTTTCCGAAGAATACTGATACTCTAGACACCACTAGAATTTACAATTATGATTTCTTTGTTTTCCAGGGTACAATATGAGGAGTCAATCGTGGACAGAAAACATTACCCCTGACTCAAAGTATACAAGTCAGTCCTGCTTAGGACTTCGTGACTAAACAAGACAAAATAAAATTAAGTATTAGATGCACTACTGGCGTTAGCTGATTTTATGTTTAGGCGGGAATTTGTCCCGGCTGCTTCCAAGCAGCAGTGGAATCCAATCACTCTACAACTCAGTTCTAACATTATTCACAAATGTTTATTAGCACTAGCTCACCTTCTTAAAGTAGCACACAAGCGTTATAAAGCACACACACTACAATGTGTCACGGCTATGTAGCATACAATACATCTAAGATATATATACCAGTGATGGTGGTGGTCTCTCTTAGCAACGGGACTCACGCCCTCTTTACAGCTTAGCCATTGGGCAACCAGGCAACATATTAGAAAAATCTGGGTACTTAGTTCTAACACTCCATATGCCATATAACCATCACAATGCACCTGGTTGCACAGCAACAGCTTGCCCCTCCCTACTGGACATTAATACGAGAACTGCTTGCCAATAAAGCCACTATAACATGACACTATTGCTAACCGTGAGAACCTTCAACCATTTCTGTATCTAAATCATTCCTTTCATTTACAACACTTTCTCGGAAAAGATATCTTTTCGACATATCTGGGGCTCGTTTGTCTAGTTTTTTTATCTATGATCCTTCGTTCCGGTATTTAACCCACTTTGAATGTTGCTTGGTAATTTTGCTAATTCTGATAACGATCATATATAGCTTTATCATCCCATTCCTGTTCCTCACTTCCTCCAATGCTGATGTCCAGTTCCTCCTTGTCTACCTTGTCAATCCCCTTTCGAATATTATATGCCGTTATCATGTCTCCCCCTACCCGTTCTTCCTCTCGTGTAATGAGGTTCAGTTCAGTTCAGTTTATAAGGAGTAATAACAACACCTCACAGTAGCAAGAGTTACCAGAGCCTGACGATGATAATGGCGCCGGACATCGACCTTCTGGAGATATGATGATGATGATGATAGCGCTGGCGGACGGTCACAATAGTCAGTCGGTCAGAGCGGGACGTGAGTTGACGCGTCGTGTTCCGTTGTCGTTAGGGAAGAACATCTCACCGTCAAAGAAAAAAACTTCTATCACCCTTCCATTAAGGTTGGGCGTGTCGTGTTTTCGTTGATATAGCATTTATTCCCCAGTAATTGCTAGCTAGCACTTGCCTCGGGGAACTTCCCTCACATGATCGACGACCTGGTGGGTTACTCACCATCCGAATTTGAGGCTTTTGAGTTAAAATTGCGGTAGGCGCGTGTGCGGAAAACGACCACGAGACCAATTCACAGTTCAGTAGGTAGGTGGAGCTAGTGACCACAGTGCGAGTCCCTGTGATGACGGCTCTCAGTGTCTCCACAACCCCTGCTTCATGATGTCGGTGTATCAGCGCCTCGCTCTATCATTCTCCTGCCTTCTACTACTGCGGGCCAGCGGCGCCCTGGAAGTAGTGAGCACTAGTGCTGGAAGTGGCATCATGAGCACTAGTGACACGGGGCAAGTGCCCATAGAAGGCTTTATGGAGGAAATCCGCCAGGCTATGACCAGCCAATGGGAAATCCTGCAGAATATTCGCTACCATACGCTGGTGACGAAGGTGCGTGTGACGCAGCTTGAGGCGCAGGTCAAGAATCTGGCAGCTAAAAACGTCAGCGTCAGCGAACCAGTCTTGCATACCTTCGGCTCCGGTAAGGTCATCCTAGCGCATATATATTTATTTTGGGAGCAATGTGTAGGGCAGAGATGATGAATTCTTAAACGTACTCAGTTTGGCTTGGCGAGGTTGCTTTAATTATATGATTGTGAATTATTATATTTCGATATTGTTTTTTGGATACATTATTCTTTATAATGATTGCTTCCGCTACTAGTGGTGTTACTAGTGATGTTCTAACTTTTAATACTGCTAATATCATTGCTATGACAATGTTGCTATTAGCGATGACACCAACGTTGCAGCCTCCTTGCCTCGATGTGTATCATTTGTAACACTGGCTTGCATAACATGAAAACAAAGCCAACTGACTCATACAAAGCAGCTCCTATTTTGATTCACCCAAACTTAACTGGTATAATACGCAGGTCTAACCTCAGCTTGAAACAACCCAGCGACCTCCCCCCAAAATTACTCTCAAATTCACGCTCTAAGTCACAAATGTTCCAGCCTCTATCACGGTCTAAGGAACCTCTGAATCTCTTATCTCAGTCCTCACACGTCTGCTCATTTGACACGTGTCAGAATCTCATGTTACCTTCCGTGTGTCTCTTATTGACACAACGGTTTTTCCGTTTCCCTTCAAGACACCACTAAGCCGGGCTTCTACTCCACCATGGGGGAGACTAAGCCCTGCGAGGGCGCGGGCCCCGACGCTGACGGAGGGGTGTCGCTGCTGGTGGAGGCCATGAAAGAGCTCTCTGCCAACTACAACAGGCTGCTCAACTCTTCGGTCTTGTCCAGCAACGGCGCCATCACCTTCGAGGAGGACTTCGACAAGCTGGCGGAAATCGCTAACCGCATTAAAGACTTGTCTGGGGACACAGCGACGGCTCCTTCGCCAGGAAACGGAGAGATTGACGTCGGTGTGACTGCCATAGCTTCCGGTACGTATATATATGGTTGTTTCATAACCCTTTCATCTCTCGTTCCCCTCACACACACACATTAATTGTTAAACTAAGACAAACATTTCGATAAGAATAGCATCAAATTAATGCTACATGAATGAATGAGTGCCTTCTGGCAGGTGTGGAGTACCCGACATGTGTGACGTATGAAGTGTTTGTCCTGCAACAGGTGTGAAGATCGAGACGAGGCCAGCAAGCGGTGTGGAGGATGTGAGGCGTCCGACGGAGGAAGCAGCAGCAGCGGCCGCGGGTCCGAGCATCGCCGTGAGCTCCAGTCCCAACGTGACCGTCCGAGTGGGGGACACAGCCACCCTCACCTGCCATGTCAACAATCTTGGAGACACCAGTGTGAGTTACCTGTCCTAGCTAGCGTCTTGTTGTTGTTTTAGATTCAGCTACTCAGAACAAAAATTCCAAGTAGCACGGGCTATGGTGAGCCCGTGACTTACCCGACACAGGAGCGGGGCTGTAACTTGGTCCTAGCTCTGATTTCTGGCTATATACCTCAGTTACCTCTGATGGGTATATCCATCAATAACTGAGGGTTATATAGTCATCTAGTAATAGCATCTAGCACTCATCTCTAGCTTTTCATTAACAAATTAAAATTATTTGTCGTTTGCATTAATCTTAAAAAAAATAATAGGGTTATATTGGAATGCAAGTTTCCTTTTACCTAATGCCTCTGTTCACCTAGTAGTAAATAAGATACCCGGGAGCTAGGCAACTATTGTGGGTTTGCATCCTAAGGAGGATCAGTAATTCGACCTTTGGGGACCTCGATGCAAGCCTAATGTATGTATGTGTATGTATATATATATATATATATATATATATATATATATATATATATATATATATATATATATATATATATATGTCGTACCTAGTAGCCAGAACGCACTTCTCTGCCTACTATGCAAGGCACGATTTGCCTAATAAGCCAAGTTTTCATGAATTAATTGTTTTTCGACTACCTAACCTACCTAACCTAACCTAACTTTTTCGGCTACCTAACCTAACCTAACCTATAAAGATAGGTTAGGTTTGGTTAGGTAAGGTTGGTTAGGTTCGGTCATATATCTACGTTAATTTTAACTCCAATAAAAAAAATTGACCTCATACATAATGAAATGGGTAGCTTTATTATTTCATAAGAAAAAAATTTGAGAAAATATATTAATTCAGGAAAACTTGGCTTATTAGGCAAATCGGTCCTTGCATAGTACGCTGAGAAGTGCGTTCTGGCTACTAGGTACGACATATATATATATATATATATAGTTCATATATATATATATATATATATATATATATATATATATATATATATATATATATATATATATATATATATATATATATATATATGTCGTACCTAGTAGCCAGAACGCACTTCTCATCCTACTATGTAAGGCCCGATTTGCCTAATAAGCCAAGTTTTCATGAATTAATATATTTTCACTAATTTTTTTCTTATGAAATGATAAAGCAACACATTTCATTATGTATGAGGTCAATTTTTTTTTTATTTGAGTTAAAATTAACGTAGATATATGACCGAACCTAACCAACCCTACCTAACCTAACCTATCTCTATAGTTTAGGTTAGGTTAGGTAGCAGAAAAAGTTAGGTTAGGTTAGGTAGGTTAGGTAGTCGAAAAAAACATTAATTCATGAAAACTTGGCTTATTAGGCAAATCGGGCCTTGCATAGTAGGCTGAGAAGTGCGTTCTGGCTACTAGGTACGACATATATATATATATATATATATATATATATATATATATATATATATATATATATATATATATATATATATATAGACATATGTCGTACCTAGTAGCCAGAACGCACTTCTCAGCCTACTATGCATGGCCCGATTTGCATAATAAGCCAAGTTTTCCTGAATTAATATACTTTCTTTAGTTTTTTTCTTATGAAATGATAAAGCTAATCATTTCATTATGTATGAGGTCAATATTATTTTATTGGAGTTAAAATTAGCGTAGATATATGACCGAACCTAACCAACCCTACCTAACCTAACCTAACCTATCTTTATAGGTTAGGTTAGGTTAGGTAGCCGAAAAAGTTAGGTTAGGTAAGGTTAGGTAGGTTAGGGAGTCGAAAAATAATTAATTCATGAAAACTTCGCTTATTAGGCAAATCGGGCCTTGCACAGTAGGCTGAGAAGTGCGTTCTGGCTACTAGGTACGACATATATATATATATATATATATATATATATATATATATATATATATATATATATATATATATATATATATATATAAATATATATATATATAAATATATATATAAATATATATATATATATATATATATATATATATATATATATATATATATATATATATATATATATATATATATATATATATATATATATATATATATATATTTAATGCTCGTCAGGGAAGCTTAACCTTTACCGTCCTCATCATCCGGCTGACCAGGAATCATCAAACATTTAACCTACGAAACCTGTGCATCTTTTCTCAATCATGGCGGCTTTGTCTGTATCTATAAAACGTTTACTAACCTCGAAACTTAGCACCCTGAGGTTATTGCGGTCACAGACGATCTCGTAGCCCCTTTCCCACCTCATAAACCACTTCTAAAATTATTAATTATTATTTATTCTCCCTACCTTCATCTAGGTGTCTTGGGTTCGCAGCGAGGACGGGAGCTTCGTGGCCATCGGCTCCTACGTGTTCTTCCCAAGCAGCCGCTTCCAGGTGGTGACGCAGGTGGGGAGTAAGGACCACCATCTGAGGATCCTCCAGGTGAAGGAAGAGGACCAGGGCGCCTACGAGTGTCAGGTGTCTGGGGAACCGCTCATCATCCACACTATCTGGCTCACTGTCAAAGGTCAGGAGGATGGTTATCTTGGGCATAATGCTACATAAAACTGCATCCATTCACATCAGTATATACGATATGATGTAAGGGAAAAAGAATATATTATCACAGATGTTTAAATAAGAAGTGTGGTGTGGAGTGAGGGGGTGTGGAGTGAGGGGTGTGGAGTGAGGGGTGTGAAGTGAGGTATGTGGTATCTTGACAGGTATGGATGATGATGATGAGGAGGAAGCAGATACCGAGAGTCCAAGCATCGTGAGCAGCCCCAACGTGACTGTTCAGGTCGGAGAGACAGCCACCCTCACCTGTCGGGTCCACCACCTTGGAGACCAGGCAGTAAGTCTCCTACCATCGTCACCTACAAGCAGTTCCTAATCAGTTCACATCCTCAAGAGTTCTGGGTAATATTCCTGGACGCGTAAGTTGGATAAACAGTGAACAAAAAGTGTTTTTGAGGATCCAACAGAGTGTAAAGCATCTTTCATTCATATACAGGGGAGGGGGAAGAGCTAGCAATTGCATGGAATGAACATTAGTTTTTATTGATACGGACGGGCTGCACAAATAATAATTAGTCCAGCAATCAGGTCTACTAGTGAACGTCACCTGATGCTTCTGTTCACCAAGCAGTAAATAGCTACCTGGTTATTAGACAGCTGTGATGGACTGCATCCTGGGGATATGTGTGTATAATATATATATATATATATATATATATATATATATATATATATATATATATATATATATATATATATATATATAGTAGATGTAGAGAAAATAGGTCGGAAGTTAGTACACAAGTCAACTGACGGTTAGAAAGGCAGGGCCTAACAGTTATAGCCCTATCCTGCAAACACAAACAGTTACTACACACACACAAGCTTAGGAAGTGATGTGGTGGAGGCTGACTCCATACACAGTTTCAAATGTAGATAGGATAGAGCCCAATAGGCTCAGGAATCTGTACACCTGTTGATTGACGGTTGAGAGGTGGGACCAAAGAGCCAGAGCTCAACCCCCGCAAACACAACTAGGTGAGTACATATGTAAGAATAATCACAACAAAAACACGTGATTCAGTTATGCGTAAGTACTCACAAAGAAAATGAAACGAAAATTCCGTTTTCGTATTTCAATACATTATCAACGAAATACAGTATTTCCTTGATAATGTGTTGAAACACGAAAAACGTTCGAAACTTTCGTGTCATTTTCCTAATGGATACTTACGTACATACATATCTATCTATCAACTCCAAGCACCGTTTCCCCAGGTAACGTGGATCCGGACGAGTGATGAACATATACTGGCCATCGGAGAAGTTATCTTCTCCAGGGACTCCCGCCTTCAGGTGACGCACGACAGGCAGTCCGGTGACTGGCTCCTGAGGATAGAAGACGTAGCCGAAGGTGACGAGGGACCTTACGAGTGCACCGCGTCCTCCGCTGTTCCGGCCTCAGTCACTATCTGGCTCAACGTAGAGAGTAAGTGGGTCATCAACTGGTGTGTGGAGTGAGGTGTAGCATCATGCAGGTGTGGAGTGAGGTGTAGCGTCATGTAGGTGATGTATGCGGTCTCCAGCAGGTGTGGAGGAGGCAGAAGGCGTGAGTCCGAGCATCGTGGAGACCTCTAATCCCAACGTGACGGCCAGGGCGGGAGAAACAGCCACTCTGAGCTGTCCTGCCAGTAATCTTGGAGACGCCGCCGTGAGTTTTTAAAGACTGCTAACACAAACTGCTGTTCAAAAGTGTTCATATGCTATGTTTGTTTGATTTCCGTCGTACTTAAGGTCTTAAGTCTTAATTAGACAGCGAGTCAAATTGTATCCGTCAGTGTCTTAAGCCGTGCGACTCACTCACAGGTATTCTGGTACCGCGACAAGGACCTGAATCTGTTAACAGGTGGACCAGTCACTTACGCCATAGACGATCGTTTCAAAGCCATGAAGGACGAAGGCGCCGACGACTGGACGCTGCAGATAACGAGACTTCGTGTCTCTGACGCAGGCTGGTACGAGTGTGTTGTAGTCTACCCGTCTCCTGTCAAACACAGAGTCTATCTCACAGTTGAAGGTGAGTGCTATGAACCGCTCATTGTGTATGTCTATGTCTCTTAACACGCACGCACACGTCCCCAGGAAGCAGCCCGTATAACAGCTGTCTAACTCCCAGGTACCTATTTAGTGCTAGGTGAACGGTGGCGCAGGACGAAAGAAACTCTGCCCATTTGTGTCTGCCTCGGCCGGGAATCGAACCCGGTTCCTTAGGAATACGACCCCGAGTGCTGTCCACTCAGCCGCGAGGCCCCTCCCCCCTAATGTTTGATGTTGTTTAAAATGTTTACTGCAAAGCATTTAAACTATTCTGGCATAATGTCAAACATTTAAACTGTTACGACATAGTGGCAATTATTTAAACTGTCAGTAAAGTGAATTTATAGCATAGTAGCAAGAGTTTAATTGCCTTCATGACTCTTCTCATAGGACCTACTGTCATCAGTAGGTCCTATGAATTTACAGCACAGTGACGAGTTATAAAATGCTCATAATGTACGCTTGCAACACTGGTCACAAAGTCATATAAATATACACGGAAAAATGCAACACAGTGTTAAATAAAGTTCATTGTTGCTACCGCTAGAGTCGTCGACCACCACCAGCAGAGAGGCGAGGCTACTGACGGAGGACCCCACCAGAATCGGGCCGAGGATACTGCCCAGCATCGGGCCGAGGATACTGCCCATCATGGTGACCAGGATACTGACGGAGGCCAGCAGTAGTAACGTCACAGTTCTGGAGGGCGACAGTACCTCCCTCACCTGTCGGGTTCAGAACCTAGGCACAAACACGGTGAGTTGAGAGTGACGTACATAGATCATTGTACAGGTTCACTGGCAAGCATTTAAACTGATACCACATGATAACAAACATTTAAGCCGTTACGGCATAGTAGCAAGCTTTTAAATTATGATGATTAAGTTTATAGAATAATAAGTTCATTTGTGAATTATGCGAGCTTACATCAGAGCAAATTATGTTTCCATTTGGCCTATAATCTTGATACAACCAGTTATAATGACTTCAAACTACGGTACTAGAGAACCCTAGGATTTCAATTAATAGCACATTCGTATCTTAGGTTACATGGAGTCGCAGGAAAGATTTACACATCCTGACGGCGGGGCAGTACACGTTCACACCAGACGACCGCTTCTCAGCATTTCATGAAGGAGAGGACTGGAGGCTACAGATCTCGACCGTGAACAAGAGTGACGAGGGAGAGTATGAATGTTTGGTCTCTACCAGTTCGCCCATCACACGGATATTCTTTCTCAAGGTCGTCGGTAAGTAGCAGTTTTGGTAAACAACTGATTTAGTATAGTCTGCAGGGATATTCCTGTTCGGGCCCCCATGCCTCTGGCTGGCCCAATAATTACTCGTTTCTCGTTTCTGTCGTAAGGGGTGGATGAGTATTTATGACTATGTTGACTTGAGTAAGATTTTGACCAATGTGTAACAATTTCTTCTGCACTGTTAAATCTCATTTGAAATTTTATTTGGTTTGTAACTGCACTGTGTTAGCTAATGTTCCAACAGTGCAGTTACCAACCTGCTGATCTGACGTCAAGATATCCTTAGTGTCTGAATTTAACGTGCTATAACTTTTATACCATATACGTTGCTAATACATGAAGCTTTGAAGTGCTGCCATGGTAAAATTATCCTACTTGTGTGTGCATTTGTATACATGCTCGTGTTTCTTATGCAACAAAGAGAAGTCAGTATTTGCCTACTCAGTTATTTGTGTCTTGATATTGCCTCAGCAGAGCTGCAAGCTGCCGCAAGAAAGCCAATGGTGGTAGACAGCAACGAGGACGTCACTGTTTTCAAGGGTGAAACTGCAACCCTTTCTTGTCCCTTCCCAGACCACAACACGCATACTGTAAGTGGCAAAACGCATTTTTTGAGGCACAGGGAGCATACTGTAGGTCACAGGGAGCATACAGAGTCACTGATCTTGGGGAAAGTACCTTTTAGCTATACAAAATCGCTAAGTTTAAATTAAGAGAACACTTTGATAAATATGTAGGTTCGGGATTAGAGTGGTGGATTTATGGAGAAAATTACAGGGTAATATAATAGGGTTGGGATTGTTGGATGGCTTCAAGCATAGGTGAGACATCTATATGAGTGAGTTTGGTTGGGTATAAATACGAGCTGATTCGTATGACACAAAAGTGCTCTGCAGTGCTTAAATAACCCATCACAATTGATGTCTGAAGTAGCTTGTATATTAAATGGAATGTAATTTTTGCCAATGATAATAACTATTGTATAAAATTTGTGTGAATCCCATCCCATAATGGAGTTGGAAAACATGACCTTGTAGATCGATTGGCCAAGGAAACTTGCAGGAAAGAAAACACTGATTATGACTTTGGACTATCTAATGCAATTATTAAAAACATACAAATTAAAGAAATTAATTCAGATTTAGAATATCTAAGAAATCCCCAGAGACCTGAAAGCTGCAGTATTAAAAGTTATGACAACTTTTGTAATAATAGGTATTTGGTCAGCACAGTAACCGGACCAGGCAATGTGATGTAGTCATTGCGCGAATTCGCCTTGGCTATAGGCACATCTGGCAGGTTAGTGAGGCTGAGCCACTACCAGAATATTCAGATTGTAGACTCTGTGATAAACCTTTAATACATTCACTATTGTTGAATGTGAAACCGTAAAAGATTTTAGACCTTCTGGCCTCTTGTACCACCAACTGTGTAACTATTTCATTGACTCAGGTGTTCTGGACGACATCCTAACAATTTATCCAAAATTGCTTGTCCATTTTAAAGAATGAAGAACAATTTTATTTATATTATTTTTAAGTTGCATCTCTTATGAACCCATCCCTTCAGCCTACAGTTTAGACTTATTGTCTTGTGTATGACCCTCTGTTCTGTGTGACAGTGAATACCAGTATCATCCACACTTTAATAAGACTTAATTGAAATCCTCAGATTAGGCAAAATTGTAATTAAATTTTGTCAATAAAGATGTTAATAATAATAATAATAATGCTTCGTGTGGACAAAATTATGCTTTCTGCTGTTTTCTTTATTCTCAAGTTCTAGTAATGACCTTCAGGGAAGTAAGTCTTGGGTATAGTAATGACCTCGTGGGAAGTCTTGGATATAGTAATGATCTATGAGAAATACATCTTGTGAATAGTAATGATCTTGGGAAAGGGAACAGCAACTATCCATTTGGCATCCCATTAGGTATGCTAAAAAAAAACACTTATTAAACTGTGGCTTACCCTATTGCTACCCTCACGAGAGACCTCTCCCGTCACGCAGGGTGCAGTCGCACCTCCACAGATTTATTTATTTTTATTTATTTATTCAGCTCTTGATACTGGTAATGGCTCAAAAGGGCCACCACTTACGGGCTATTCATGCCCGTGCCACCTTTTGGGTGGCTTAATCTTCATCAATATTCCTACCCTCAGACAACATGGGTACGCATTGCGGACATGCGGGTGCTGGAGGGGCCTGTGATCACCTCAGACGAGCACTTCACCCTCCAGCAGGACCAAGGCGGGTACTCAAGTCTCAAAATCCTTGCCGTGACGGAACTAGATGAGGGAGTTTACCAGTGCAAAGTCTCCACCAACCCGCCCAACACACGGCTGTTTCATCTCAGTGTCCAAGGTATTTGAGTCGACTTGGGCAAGTTGGGCAAGTACACATGCTGGTGTGTGTGTGTGTGTTCTCAGTTGAATGTACTCGCGTGGATGTGAAGGTGTGAGAAGGGAGTTCAAAACTCAAACCTAACATACTATCGATTGTCATTTGTATTTTCGACCCTTTTTTTATGTCGTATCTGCCTTTAAAGCTGTATATTAAACGTCAAATATCTTTCCTTTGTTCCACTCCACTTTTTCATATATTTGTTGGGAGAAGTTTTGGGTGAATTGTTTTCATGTTAGGCTTGCAAGCTGTTGCTTGGATAGCCTCTTGTATCTTCTGTATGATCGTACATAAATGTCGCCAGTTTCAACTCATTACCTTAAAAAGTCTCAAAACAAACACAAAATAGCCGCTATGGAAGCTATGCTGCTCAATTTCCCTTCCGTATATATATATTATTTATATAAGACAAAGTTATATATTGTCCTTCAAACTATATGAATACCATTTTGTATTATTAGCCAGTCATGTATGACATATCTGAATTGTTGACCTGTTTTCAGTATCAGCATCTAACTGCCAAAACGATTTCCATAAATTTTTATATATTTTACACATCACTTAATTCCCGAAAGCTCCAAAAGCACTTTTTGTTTCCAATTATCTACAGCAGCGCGAGTAGTGAAATTTAGTAAATACATCCATGCATTTTTGATTTGCATTAATGGCAGCTGTAGTTGTATTCTTAATACGTTTATTATGGAAGCATTGTTGTATTAATATAATTATTATTTATATAATAGAACACCATCAGTATACTTGTTCTTGATTGTCCGTTGATTAATGTATATAGAAACACTGAGATAAGGACTGTTCCTGAACAAATAGCCTGGATGTGTCACAACGGAAAGGTTGATGATATTCTTGAGAGATAGAAGAATTTTGCACCAAGATTGTAATATTTTGTTGAATTATCTGCAGGTGTCTTGCAAATTGTCTATACAGTATACCTAAGTCATAAAAGTATTTGTGTGTACGTCTGATACCATACTACTTGTGAAGGAGGAAATGTATATTTTTACCTCTCAGAATGTTCGGTAATATGTTTATTGTTTGTGATGTGTGTATATGTATATATTAACACGTTGTACTGAATGGGGTGAGAATAGCTTGAGCTACCTCATCCCTTTGTGTGTATTTTACCTCAATAAACTTATTTCAATTTCAATCAGTATACTAAATTGTACATATTTCCATTATTATTGAATATTTTTATTAATGGTTTCTATAAATATTGCAGACGACTCCAGGAACACTGCAAATACACCAACTAGACTAGTGACAAATACAACAGGGAACTCGACCAGTGACAAATTCAACAAGGAACTCTACCAGTGACAAATACAACAAGGAACTCGACCAGTGACAAATACAACAGGGAACTCGACCAGTGACAAATACAACAGGGAACTCGACCAGTGACAAATACAACAGGGAACTCGACCAGTGACAAATACAGCATGGAACTCGACCAATGACAAATACAACAGGGAACTCGACCAGTGACAAATACAACAGGGAACTCGACCAGTGACAAATACAACAGGGAACTCGACCAGTGACAAATACAACAGGGAACTCGACCAGTGACAAATACAACAGGGAACTCGACCAGTGACAAATACAACAGGGAACTCGACCAGTGACAAATACAGCATGGAACTCGACCAATGACAAATACAACATGGAACTCGACCAGTGACAAATACAACAATTAACTCGACCAGTGACAAATACAACAATTAAGTCGACCCGTGACAAATACAACAAGGAACTCGACAAGTGACAAATACAACAGGGAACTCGACCAGTGACAAATACAACATGGAACTCGACCAGTGACAAATACAACATGGAACTCGACCAGTGACAAATACAACAAAGAACTCTTAGACAAATACAACAAGGAATTCTGTGACAAATACATTCATTAAACAAAACCAATCGAGCTATACCGTGATACTTGGATATTAAAGGAGTCAGAAATATAGCAATATTATATATTGTGTATATGTGTTGCTTGAAATACTTGTAGATTGCTTCAAGACTATTATAAAACTTGTATTTAGGTTTATTGTTTACAACAACACGCTAGTATCATCTATTACGATTTCCTGAAGAAGGATAACTTTTGACTTAATACAGCAAAATTAAACTGTATCACCAGCAAAAGTGCCTGGATTCAAGGTAGCAGGAAACCCATGCTTCAGCAAGGTGAAGCACAATAAGAAATACTAATGGTGGCTTTACTACTTAACGGAGAGTGCTTACTTAACTAGGATATGTGCACCAGATCACGACGTCCGCCTCCCACCGACCTTAGTTACAGACTGCAGAGCGCGTCAAATCTACTTTATGACTGGCTGCCGAGTTGGTACAAATATTGTTCTAAAACACTCCGAACCAAACATCCTAACCACTACTCAATCGCCAACATTCAATCCTTAATATTAATGCAGCATCCTGGCTCTATACTCTACTAGTCAAATTATTACGATAGGACATCTAAGCTGGTTAGGAGTACAACTTACTCTTACGTCTGGCAGTGTATTATAATACCTGGCCAACTGTCTACATATATCTTAAGGTTACGTCAGTACTTCATCCTTATAAAACATACATAAAACCTATTTTGTAATAGCCTTAATTTATAATATACTACAAATTCAGATCCTATCACATTCATCCTGGTAATAAAAATAAAATTCTTCCCCGTTTCCTATGTAAACAAACATGGCTCCCACACTGCCTAAACTCATGGCTCCCAAACTACTTAGGAACAAAAAGGATCGTAGCAAAGAAATGTAAAAATTTATGTTTGAGCCTGTGAGGGGGGGTCGACCATGGATGTAATGGACTTAGAGTCGAGGACGGGTTGCTTTGGTCACGGGCGTAATTATAGGGAAATTGTCTTGTATAAATAGTTGTGGTGTTTCATATGTTTCATTGCTAGTAAACTTTGTGTCTTTGTTTCATGTCTGTGTTGTTGCTGCTGTTATTGTGTATAGTAAACATCTAAAGATATGCTGTGATTTCATTTTTTACTTGTGTGCTTTAATTTACGTTTCATACTATAAAATGCATCACAAATTAAGGCATCCCGAATTTTGGAGGTTATAAAATTTAAAAAATAATACTAATAAAATATGTGTGTGCTTATGCTAGAAACCTAGAAATGCGATGACCAGTTAATCATCCTAACGACTAGGCTATCTGGCCCGTTAAAAATCAAAGGTCCTTGGAGATACACCAAGAATCTTAGCCAAAGCTGTGGAGGGCCGTTACAGCTTAACAATTAATTGAGATACAATCCTGTATAAATATTAATCACAAAATTCGTACTTATGTCGTGGAACAGAAAGCCTGTTAGTAGGGCTTATCGAGGTCCCTTTAGAGCTCTGGACCAATGACTGACCTTTCCCAGGAGACAACCCACAATAGCCTAATTCTATTTAGTGCTAAATAAACATTGGTGTCAGGTAAAAGAAAAAACTGCTCAAACGTTTCTATCCTGTCGCGTTAATCGAACCCATAACAAATTGGTTGTGAAATTGTGAATCGACGCTTGTCAAAACACCAGGGAACCCAATTACAATTTCCTTTTAAATTAGTTATCATTACCTGTATTAACCTACTATGACCTTTGACCCAGATCCCCTATGGCCCATAATGGAGGAGGTACCGACAGACGTTCATACTGTGGCGGGGAAGACAGTGACCTTGACTTGTCGTGTCTCAAGTCAAATCCAACCCATCATCACCTGGAAGAAAAATGGCCTTCAATTGACCTATGGCCGCCACCAGGTGACCCGGGATGGAGACCTGTTGATCAGGTTCGTACTGTTTGCTTTAGTTGTGCTCATAATGTAACTGGTGGTGTCAGTTTCCCCCACCCCCCTCATGGCACTACATTGGCACTACAGCCACTTTTCATTCACATTATAACCACCATGATTCACAATGACGGCATATATATATTTCCATCAAGCTTTATAATAGCGCTACCACATATTTCCATAGCAGAGCCAAATATACTTCCTCCATGGTACAGGCACCAAGTAGAGGTGATTTGAAATTCAAAATTCAAATTTGTATTTAGGTAAAAGTACATACATAGATGATAACTTACAAACATAATGTTGGATTTATAGATAGAGCTAGTACATACCATACCTAAAGCCACTAATACGCATAGCGTTTCGGGTACGACTTAAATGACTTAATTCAACCTCATAAAATACTAAGAGGTCTCAATGAAATACAGATGTTCTGGTTGAATTGTAACGCAAGAAGAGGGCATGTATGGAAGCTAAACACGCAGATGAGCGCTGCATACTATATTCTCACTACCTTAGCGTTTTTTTATGATAATAATCTACATATTACGATGCTCCAGGGATGTGAGATTTAGTGACGAGGGTCGCTATCTCTGTAACGCCACCAACCGTCACGGCAGCGTGGAGAGTGGCGCCAACCTCAGGGTTGAAATGGCCACCAAGATTATTAAGGCGCCAAAAGATCGTCATCGAATGAAGGGGGAATCGGCTGTCTTCAGGTGAGTGCAACGTTCACGATTTCCTGTGTTAGGTGGTGTAAATGTTCGTATTTTGTGTTTTTAGAGGGGGGAGAAAGGAAGTCTAGATCAATCCCCAATCTACTAATACGCCTGTCACTATATCCTGAAACACTTAGCCCAAAAGTTTCTATATTGTTTATTGCTATTTACATATTTACATGTAATATTTTATGATTACCTGTGCATATACAATATATATATATATGTACATTTTGTAGGTTTTAAATCACAAATTATATTTTCAAATGCAGATTTTATGCACCTTCGGCTCTTATTTTTACTTGTATTCTTATGTCTTATTATCCACTATTTCCCTGTCATTCTGTTTCATAGTTACACCCTCTGTTGACCAAACCACACACTAGGAAGTGAAGGGACGACGACGTTTCGGTCCGTCCTGGACTATTCTCAAGTCGACTGAGAATGGTCCAGGACGGACCGAAACGTCGTCGTCCCTTCACTTCCTAGTGTGTGGTCTATCAACATATTTCAGCCATGTTATTGTGACTCCTCGTCTGCATACACCCTTTACCTGTTCCTCGTCATCACCTCCACAGGTGTAAAGCAGTGGCCGACAGTGACCTGGTGTTGAGTGTTGAGTGGCTGGTTAATGGAGAAGTGGTCGACTACGACAAGAACCCCAGATTGATGCGACGGCCCAAGAACGCCCTGATGGTGAGTCCGGTGACCGAGGAAGATGCCGGGGTGTACACCTGCCTGGCCTCCACGTCCCTGGATAGTGTCACCGCCAACGCCACCCTCACTGTCAAAGGTGAGGCATGTGGCGGCCATGTTGGTGACGCCTTACAGACAGACACTTTCTTATTTATATAGTTTTGTGTATACTGTAGTTAATTCTAGAGTTGGTTAGGTAAGAGATTTTATTTCTGCTAGCAAATTGTTGTATTTAAAAGTACGTATGTTTGAAAAAGTTCGTAATGTAATCAGTTACGATTCATATATGTATTTAATTCACAAATTACACCATTCTGAACGCAGATATAAACAAATCAAATTCACATTGCAGTTATTCACTATTTACCTTTCAGCGTGCTCGTTAAACCTACATTAAATAAACTTATAATTATATCATCTTGCTCAATTGAATCTTACCAGCATACCCCCTCTCGTCAATGCCCAACAGGCTCAGAGAGACATTCTAAGGTTCCGACAGGTTCCAGAGTGCTTACCCCATCCGAGGAAGACCCTTGTCCCCTTCCTTACCAGATGCTTAAAGATGACAACACCCTCTGTGTCCTTCTGGTAACTGACCGAAAGCTGAGTTGGAGAGAGGCCTCTCAATACTGCAGGTGTGTGTGTGTGGGTGTGTAGGTGTGTTCGATAATCCAGCTATCAGTTCATATGTAATTACCTAAGTTACAGGATGAGAACTAGGCTTGTGGTGTCACGCCTTTCCAGTACTCTTCGATATATGACTACTGACGGTTTTGGCCTCTACTACCTTCTTACTGAATTGTGGAAACCCAGCTGTCAATCCATGTGTGGGAAACCAGCTGGCTTGCATTCTTTACAACATAATAAATATAATCTCACTGTAAATTAGACTGTAAGCAAGTTTTTCCATGATGGGTAATTTTCGCTTTAGCGACATTATGGTTATTAAAAATTTGGAGTACAGGCCATCAGGACAAAGTGGAGCTGGAACAAATGGTTGAGGTTACAAGCCTAATAACCTGTTATTTCTCCGTTACCACTTGAGCTAACTACACCAATCTCAGCTTAAGCATCCATCCAAACCACCAGTATCTATCCCCTATCTACTGTTATTTAGCACTAACCATCCCCCAATCATCGTTATCTACCCACAACCCCCATAAAGTACCCTTAACCACCATTATATCCCCCAAATCGCCATTATCTACCCCCTAATCAACATTAGCTACCCCTAATCAACATTAACTACCCACTAATCAGCATTAACTACCACTAATCCCCATTACGGACTCCCCAACTCCAATCAGGTATGTTCTCTACCATAGCTATCACATTTTCAGCTTTAAAGTCCATCCAAACTGAACACTTTTCGTGTCAGCAGGACGAACAGCCAATCTACTTTCATGAACCCATTATATTTCCCGTTTCTTCAAAATGTATAACCGAGGCTCACCCAGTTTGACTAAACTCCCTTCCCCACCACCTTTGTACAGGGACGGAGGCGGTGAACTGGCCTGGGAGGCTGAGAATGTCTTACTGAGAATCTTTCTGGATGAGCTTCACGGCCTCGCTGCAAAATCCTGTATGTTGTTACACACAGAAATCACAATAGCGTGATGTATCAAATGAACACATCCACAATGGGCGTGACGAGGATTCGAATCCTCGTCACGGCCCTTGTGGATTCGTTCCTGATGTTCTAGCCTCAGCTACTCAGAACAAAATTTCCATGTAGGACAGGCTATAGAAATCCCTTTACGTCTTCTACGGATTCAGGGCACTTCTTATGCAGGTCATTTCGCCAACGGATTTTAAAGCATAATGTGACACATCACAACCTACGCAAAAATAGTTTTAACAATTGGAAAAAAGCCTAGTGGAAATGCCTGTGTCCAACTTGACTGTACTCAGTCTTCAACACCTATCTTCAAAATATTGAACAAGCTTTGAAGTTATAAAAATTCTTAGATTTAAAATATTTAGATTGTCTTGATATATTAGTCATAATGTAATAATCTTATTGCTTAAAGTCCATATATAATAGGTTTTAAATGTCCAAAATGTCCTGTATCCTGCCTGGTTGTTTTTCCAAGTTGTCCACTGAAGATAATTTTATTTTGTCTCTCTCAGGGACTCAATGGCCCTTCTGGGTGGGTGGCAGAGAGAACAAAGAAAATATAAGTGACACTGTCCCCAAAGGTGGTGGTGTAAGCAATACTGGAACTAGAAACAAAGGTGGCGGCACAGGTGGTAAGGGAGGTGGCAGTAGCAGTAGCAGCGTGTGGCGGTGGGTGGACGGAACTAGGGTGCCCTCGACGGATGTGTGGGCGCGCGGACAGCCCCGTCAATATGGGCGTGTGATGGCCCCTGATGGTGTATGTATGGTGTTGGATGGGTACTTCGGGTACCGCGCTAGTGCCCTACCTTGTCACCTCAGGAGGAGGTTCCTGTGTCGTCGCATCGTCCAATGAATATCTTCCTCCTTGTGCTCGAATACAAGTGCTCTCAACCTTATGTTCTCCAACTTGCGTTCAGTCTTTCCCCCTCATAATATGCCTATGTATACATATTTTATATCATAATAAATGCATATACTCTGGCATGATATTTAAAAATATAAAAAAATAGGAAAATAAATTATTATTATTGTTTTTATTTTTATTTTAAAAATGTCTTCTCAGGTTTGCCTTGGCACACGAAACACTTAAATTACTTCAGACACATTTCTCGAATTCTTGTAACAGGCAAGGTAGTTACTAGTTTTCACCAAGTCCTGGCTATCCGGGGGTATGACCGGCTGACCTCAAGGGTCAACTAACATCTGAATGTCACGTATTTAGCTCGTTGTTACGTCTCAATTGTGGAGGGATCAAATGTGATGCACCACTCACACATGAAGACCACTGAACCGTTTGGGTACAAATGTTCCACCGGGCAGGATGATCAAACTCCATTCATCAAATTAGATTACAAACTGCTCGCCATACTATAGAATGGACATGAATTCAATAGATTGAGTTCAGCGAAGGATGAAGTTAATCACATAAATTATAAACCCTCCTCATGAAGAGATTGAAAAACGTTAATCTTTCTCTAGAAAGGAAAAGATTGATTGATGAGGATTAAGCTACTCAAGAGGTGGCACGGGCATGAATAGCCCATAAAAAGGAGAAGAGTTAGGGATGACATGATTGACTTTTACAAGTGGATGAATGGGCATAACAGGTGAGATGTCAATAAGGGTGTAGATTAGATATTCAGTGAATATGAATATGGTTGGGTGGATATTAATAGGAGCTGCCTCGTATGAGCCAATAGGCCTTCTGCAGTTTCCTTAATTCTTATATTCTAATAATAATTACTAGCTTAAATAGAAGTATAAATAACTGCGTTAGAATTACTTTTATCAACAAAATATAAAAATTAACATTTTTCAATTTTCTGTTTATATAATTTAATAAGTAACGACGTAAAAATATATATAAACATCTACGGTAAAGACTGCCATGCCATAGTTCCTATAGGACTAAGAATAAATAATAAACAGTATCTAGTACATCCTCCTGTACAATAATATTTGAAGAAAGTCCTATGATTTTTGCGGTTCCATATCAAGTAGTGTTGCTATGGGCTCCATACCACATCTTCCAGCAAAACCCTGTTATATATATATATATATATGACTAAATACAAATTAAACATGATACTTATATCGTTAATTCGGTTTCAACTCATAAATTAAGACAATTACAATCCACTAAATATCAGAACTGTATAAATCTTGTGTTTTTTTGTATCTACATTGTTCTCATCAACCCTGCTGATGATCTAGTTTAGAAGGAAAATCTAGGATCCTGAAAATATATATTTTTTTAGAAGAGACGAAGGAGAAGAGTCGTGGCCATCACCAGGAGCCCGGCGGCTGTGGTGACCCGCGCCGAGTCTCCATCGTTATCATCATTATCGTCTTCATCACTATGATGAGAATCTCCCATTACTGGAACGATAAGAACGAAAATAGCGATCTTCTGGGTTGTACACAAGTCGGTTCTCCAACGGATTTTAAAATCTAAATATAGCCTAGCCTAACCGAACCTAAACTAATACATCCTATCCAACGGATTTTAAAATTAAGTATAGCCTAGCCTAACCCAAGCTAAACTAATACATCCTAACTTAATGATATACAGTTTATGGTTTTGACAATTAGTAAACGAGCTTTGCTGAACCATTTTGTGTACGATTTGACCATACTTCAACTGGTTAGCTAATGTGTAAGAACTGAAAATATATGAGACTAAAACAACAAACAAAAGTGATATAGAAAATGCGAATTAAGCCATGTTCAGGTAGAAGTGCTTAATGCTGCGGTTCCCCTTCTCCCAAACTTCATTAAATGTAAAACAATCACAATAAAATGGTTAATAACCCAACCCAAACATATGAAAAGAACAGGATGACGTTTCGGTCCGTCTTTGACCCTTCTCAAGACGTGACACAGGTTCACGACGCACCGAAAGATCATCACTTTTTCTCGTCTTATGTTTGGGTCACCTGTTTCAGACACGTTGTGACTTATTCTCTGCTGTATAAAACAGGAATTGTCAGAAAAGACGATGCAAGAGTTGCCCAGACCACAGACTAGAAGGTCAAGGGACGACGACGTTTCGGTCCGTCCTGAACGATTCTCAAGTCGATTGTGAATGGTCACAATCGACTTGAATCGACTTGAAAATGGTCCAGTACGGACCGAAACGTCGTCGTCCCTTCACCTTCTAGTGTGGTCTGGTCAACATACTTTAGCCACGTTATTGTGACTCCTCGCCTGCACATGCAAGAGTTGCTCACCACAGCGAAGGTCATCTCTGGACACACCCTCGTCCTCACTCCTCCACTGGAAGGTCTGCAAGTCACAGGTGAGCTCCAGTGATGACAGGTCCCCGTCAGAATGGAAGCCCTTCTGACAGGTCACAACCACCTGTATAAGAGAATATGTTGACCCTCATGATGATGATGACCCGGATGACGTGTCACGTGATTGTCTAACGATCTAACTACAAGCACTACAGAACAGCTGTAAAAGTGTAGCGTGCTACAAAATATTCTGTAAAAGTCCCTTTGTATAGGTAGAACATATTAAGACATATTGATATAAATTATATTAACATAAATTAGACTATAAAGCGTCTACAACAAAAATAGATGCTACCAATTTTGCCAATACTGTATTGTGAGACATACACTGCCTTCTGATATACGTCAATTATGTAAAAAGTTCATCGCTAATTCAAGTTGTTTATCTGAACGAATATTAGGGTTCTGTTCCTGAGCCCATTATGCGGCTCGAGCAATTCCACCACTGCCCACATTATTGTTATGGCGTGAACAATACCTAAGCCAACCAAAACAATCTTACACTGTTGACCAGACCACACACTAGAAGGTGCAGGGACGACGACGTTTGATTAACACCTGGACAATCGACTTGAGAATGGTCCAGGACGGACCGAAACGTCGTCGTCCCTACACCTTCTAGTGTGTGGTCTGGTCAACATACTTTAGCTACGTTATTGTGACTCCTCGTCTGCAATCTGACACTCTCACCCTCCGTCCCTCTGTTTCTCGCCCTATCTTTCTCTCTTACTTTGGTTCTCACCCTCTCTCTCTCTCTCTGTCTCTCACACGCCAACACACTCGGTAAGCCGTACCTTTGGGTCATCGAATAGTTTGATATACTCGTTACGACAAGTCTTCTTTCCCTCTCTGTAAGTCTCCACCTGATTCGCCTTGTTCTTCAGACCCGGACATCCTCTCTCCTGATCTGTTGATTGACAGTTGAAAGGCGGGACCAAAGAGCCGAAGCTCAACCCCCACAAGCACAATTAGTTAAGGACAATTAGGCGAGTACTTGACGATACAGGTAGAAGAGGAAGTCAAATGAGAGAGAGAGAGAGAGAGAGAGAGAGAGAGAGAGAGAGAGAGAGAGAGAGAGAGAGAGAGAGAGAGAGAGAGAGAGAGAGAGAGAGAGAGGGATAAAATAAAATAAAGAGAATATAAAATATAACAAGGATTCATGAAATGCATACAAAATACAATTTATAAAACAAAAATAAAAACTATTTATAATATTAAATCATATGAAACTGTAAACCAATTATTCATAACAATATATTTGTCATTAAAAATACAGGAAGGTCACTATACTCCGAGCAGCGTTGCCAACTCACGCAAATTGCCTTGAGTCACATAGAGAGAGATGTAATTCCCATCTGACTTGGTCACACCAACGGTTAGAAGGAAGTACGCATCGTAAGGCGTATTCTCGTCGACCTGTTGTGGTAATAACGGTAAGATCAACAGCAAATAACGGTTAATTATAGTTGGACTTGGCTGGATCGTGTCAAGTCCAGCACGCGCCACACCTCTGCACACACATCAAATAACATGGCACAACTGCTTTAGATTCAGGAGAGACCCTTGTAAATACTGGCTTGAAAATACGGCAGCTGATTTATAGAACCAATTACACCTGGATAATTTTGAGAAGCAAAGTATTCTTGCTGGTTGGTCAGTATACTATTATGGTGACCTAACCCACAGTTGATATAGCCCTTGAGCCCCAACATAAACCAAACCACCTCCAAGGCATCAGCCTGGTGGACCAAACTCTCACAAGTCTGGCCTCGGGCCGGGCTTGGGGAGTAGAAGAACTCCCAGAACCCCATCAACCAGGTAACCAACCTCCTTCCTCACCCTGAATTCCTTATTGCTGTACGAGTAGCCCACAGACTTGTTTCCGTAGACGACCTTAAACCACTCTTGGGCGGTGACCTGGTCGTAGTAGCCCTGAAGACTGGGTGAATACATGCCGCTATGCACCGTCGGCTCCGGGTAGATGGTGTTAAGCTGTACACTGCTCACGGTAACACAACCTCCTTCTCTAATCTCGCTCTTCGTAGAGGTCGAACTTGATGTTGTATCTGTGGTAATGTTTGTGTGAGCCAGAAGGATGGATGGAAGAGAATGAGGAAGGACACAATAACGTGGCTGGAGATATTATGACCAAACCACAGGTTAGAAGATGATGAAACGAAGGTTTCGGTCCGTCCTGGAACATTATATTGACAATGGTACAGGATGGACCGAAACGTCGTCGTTTCTACATCTTCTGATGTGCAGTTTGGTCATCAATGAAGAAGTTATTTACACTGTGTTCGTGCCCGTATATAACTCAGAATATCATTATACTCGCTCACCTACGGGAGGGATCTTACCTATAATGAGAGCTTCCCACTTCTCCGCCTTCTGAGTCTGACCGTTGGTGAGAGTGGCGGAGCACTCGTAGTAGCCGCCCAGGTCGTATCGCAGCTCAGTCAGTTCCAAACTTCCATTATGAGCATTTAGATTCACTACCCCTTCCAGCGCGCCTGTGGCTGTAAGGGGTTTATGGGAAAGGTTGAATTATTAGAGAGAGGGGTTGTGGCGAGACATTCTGCACGTATAAATAGGAATTCAACTAGCCAACACCTTAATTCCACCCTCCCCGCCCCAATTCAAAACACTTTCTTATAATACTGATAGTAACTGCATCGAACTGTCCACAAACCTATACCACCGCCTGAGGGAGTCCACTCGTAGCTGCCATTCACCTTGTTCCCGTTCTTCTCGTGGAAGAAGTTCCATGAGATCTTCTGCAAAACCTCGTTTTTGGTGAGATCGAGAACGTAGGGACACTCCAGGAGGCTGTTGTTAGGCGAGGGTCCGAGACCGTAGGAGATGTATCGCTTGTTGTCCACCAGACGTACTGGACCCACCAGCAAGCCCGCGCACACTCCTGCGCACCAACAGAGACATGGACAAAGTAGTTTTAAGTAGCAGATAATGAGACAATTTTCTCCAAGCTACAGCCTAGTGAACCAAACTCTCACAAGTCAAGCCTGGCCTCGGGCCGGGCTTGGGGAGTAGAAGAACTCCCAGAACCCCATCAACCAGGTATCAACCAGGTAATGGACACACGCGTACACACACCCACAAACATACAGACACAGGCACACAGATAGAGGTATACAGACACACACAGTTTCACTCGGATACATGTCTATGACCTAAGCCTCTAAAGGGGCTGGATTCCTTCATTTTAATTATCCTTAGTGAGGCAAATATGAGGAGGATTAGTACAGTGGAAGACTGAAGCAAACCACAAGAAAACCTGGGCAAACTGAGGGAACGGTCCAACAAGTGGCTACCAGAGATTAACTCAAGTATGTGCAAAGTAATGAAGATGCATGCTGGGGGCGAGGAGGTGGAACATTAAGTTCTAGATAGGAGAGGAAACTCTCCTAGAATCAGAGACAATGACCATGGCCAGGATTCATCAAGGCAGGATTCATCAAAGTAGAATTCATCAAACACTTAGTGTCCACTTACGAAGCCTGTACATCACTGATGAATCATGGCCACGTATAATGCATATATTAAACACTTCAACAGCTCAGAAGCAAAACCTTAGGTTGCGAATTCATGAAACAAGTAAAATGTTTAATGATACAGACTAAGCCGCCATAATCGAGAGAAGATGTATAGGTTTCCTAAACTTATAATACTGATTGTAAACGTGCCCAACCATTTCTGTCCTGCCCGGAAATCGAAGCCGGGATTCCCGACTGGGAGTCTAGAACGAAACAGAACGAAGCTGTATAAAAAAAAACACTCACAGCAACTTTATCTCCTAACAGAGCATCGCATTTTGATGTACACTCTACTTAAGGGCCAAAAATCATCGTACTAATAAATGGTAGCGGCTCGCGAAATTGACATACTTTTTTTTATCTTTATTTAAGAAAATACAATATAAATTACATATACATAAGTTTTACAAGGCAATTATACATTACAATTCTTAGTGAACAAGTGTTTCAGTAGTACAGAACAAGATCTTTAAAAAAAAAACTGAATGTTATACTTATTTACCTATAAACGATTTACAAAAATTGGAGAATAAATTTACATTAAAATACAGGGAAATTATTACATTTATATATATTTTATATAATTCTCGGTAAACAAATTTTCCATATCATCACCGAGCATGAGCCTTAAACCCCAAATGTTATACTACTGACCCGATTTCTGTTTTGGGTCCTCTGGTGGGTTAGGATAGAAGACCCTTTAGTACGACAGTTTCTGGACGTTGGGAAACTTTAGAAGGACGGGCTACACGCAGTGACAAGAAATTGCTTATCATAGGACATCCACATCTCTAAGGTGTGTAGCTGCACTTTAGCCAAGACAAGAGGAGTTTGGTTGAGATGGCAGAGATGGCAGAGGATAGCAAAGGATGGCAGAGGGTGGCAGAGGATGGCAAAGGATAGCAAGGATAAAAAGAAGTAGCCTGTTGAATAAATATATGAATGTTAATGCTAAATCACTAGAAACTTACCTGGTTAAAAAAAAGCGACATTGAAGGTAAAAAAAAAAAGTCTTCCCAAGTAAGAAAACATCTTACCCTTAAAAAGGTACACTGCAATGATTCAAGGAGATCTAGTAATCAACTGCTATCTAATAGGGACATGACTCTCTCCGGCGTAGGTGATATGGAGAGACAGATAGAGATAGAAACAAGACAGATAGACAAATTGAAAACAAACATAGGCAGAAAAAATGAGTACACAAGAAATTCAAAATAATAAAATAAAAAAAATTACGGAATGTATCGAGGTTATCTATTGAGAACCATTGCCTATCACTGCCGCTTCTACTGTTCCATAGCCTCTCTGAGCAGCTAAGATTAGAATAGAAAAGTCAAACTCTCTCTCCACACTCTCCCGTTCTGCAAGAGTGAACACTGAAGAACCACCACGAATGTCGTGTTGCTAAACGTTCATGCAATCTCAACAGGAAAGGATCAATGCTGGGCATAATCTTGACTACTAAGACTACCACCTACCACTATTATACACTACTACAACTACAACCACACCACTATCACGTGATTGAATTCTACGTCATAAAATGTCATTTCCATTTGACTGCTACACCACCGCAGGGGTTTGACTGCACTGTCATCGCTAGTGATTGTGTCACTGTTTCCTGTGGGTTTCCACTATTTTATCCACGTCGCCCAACACTCACCACCATCACCACCACCACCACCACCACCCAAACACACAAGAATATACTCGCAGCTATATCATTAGAGAGAAAGAATCATATAAACTCAATTATTAGCAAAACATCTATACATATATGATAGAAAGTGCACCACTTAGGCCTACTTACCGAAGGTGACTAGGAGGGCAAGGGCTCGAGTGAGGGTTGCCATGACAACCTATGACAACCCTATGGGATTCAATTCCTCACTCGTGAATTCCGGCTTCTCTTGAGGCTTCTCAGCGAGTTACTTGATCACTCGCTGGATGCAGACGTCATAGAGAATCAGGTCTCCTGGTTAACTGAATCTCGTGCTAAAGTCAATCCTTTCTGTCAGATAACGCAACAACATTAGCTGTAACCACAGCATTAATTAAGCGTAATCAACGAACATATCTATATTGCATAGCCTCTCCAATCGACGAACATATCTATATTGCATAGGCTCTCCAATCAACGAACATATCTATATTGCATAGCCTCTCCAATCGACGAACATATCTATATTGTATAGCCTCTCCATGGGATGACACGATTAGCCAAATAACAATGAGACAGTGGTAAGATAAGCCTTCCCCCCCCCCCATACACAGAGGAGTGTTAGGGGGGGACATGATAACCACATACATGATTCTCAAAGGAATTTATAGGGTACACAAAGATAGTTTAACACAAGGGACACGCGCACTAGGGGACACAGGTGGAAACTGAGTACCCAAATGAGTCAAAGAAAGATTTTTTTTAGTGTCAGAGTAGTTATTAAATAGAATGCATTAGGAAGTGATGTGGTGGAGGCTGACTCCATACACAGTTTCAAATGCAGATATGATTGAGCCCAATAGGCTCAGAAACCTGTACACCTGTTGATTGACGGTTGAGAGGCGGGACTAAAGAGCCCAAGCTCAACTCCCCTGCAAGCACAACTAGGTGAGTACACTAGGTGGACAGCATTCGGAGGTCGTAGTCCTAATGGCCCGGGTTAGATTCCCGGCGGAGGCAGAAACAAATTGGCCAGTTTCTTTCACCCTGGTGCGTCTGTTCCTCTAGCAGTAAATAGGTTACCTGGGAGTTAGACACCTGTTACGGCCTGCTTCCTGGGGATGTATGCGCGCGCGCGTGTTAAAGAGCAATATATGTAGTAGATATAATAAGAGGAAAAATAGATTGGTTAGAAAGGCGGAATCCAAGAGCTAATAACTCGATTCTGCAGACACATAGTAAATACACACACACACGCGAGGCCAGGAGCCTCTTGCATACCTTAGCACAGGCTCTGTTCCGCCTTTTGAAGAATTCAAGTATCGTAGACGGCAGTAATGATGAGCTAATGCGACACAGCTCTAACGCAGTGCGACACAGACCAGACGCAGTGCGATATAGAGCTGCTCTGCACCTGAGGGTACAACTGTCTTAGAAGTGTGTGTGTGTTGCCACAATGGTTCCTAGACTGCGTGACCCACAAA